AATTTGAAACTTATTAAATTATGATCCTTATTTTTATCCTAAATGGATGGAAAAATTGTGAATTCTGCATCTTTTTTTATTAATCTCTCTCTATTTTTTTTTTTTTAATTGATCAATGAAGATATTGGTTTGTAAACATATTATGGTTATGGTTTGCAGTCATTGTATTGATTGTGGTCGCGATCGCAGTGTAACGGATTCGAATGAATATTAATATAAATCGGCCAAACCGATCGAGTCATGAAAGTATAATGATATCGGACCCTTAAAAATAATTACGAACTAATTGATACTGCAAACCATAATACATATAGATTGAATATTTGTTTTATCAAGATAACGAACCGCCCTAAGATTGAATCTTTACTTTATCAAGGTAACAAACAAGATAAAAATAGACACAACAGGACAAAAAGTTAGAAATTCTATGACTTAAAAAATAATAATAAATAAATAAAAATAAAATAAAATAAAATAAAATTCTATATTAAAGTTGATCAAATCTAATATTCAAGATTAAATCAATAAATATATTTTTTCATAGTAGTAAAAAAATTAAATCTAATATTCTCTTTAATGTCACTGTGTTTGGTAAGTGAGAATGAAATAAAATACAACTGAAAATAAAATAAAATAATATATTTTTTGTTTTTATTATTTGGTTGCAAATATAAAATAATGTAAGAATAAAATGTTCAGCATCATTCTACCACCATTCTACCATTTAGTTTAAAACTTAAAATGGAATGAATTTCAAATTAAATTCTCAAAAATACTTTTTTTGGTGACAAACAAATTAAATTAACGCAATAATATTTTTCTATAATTTTGTAAAAGAAATGATGGTGGTAGGGGTGGTGGAAGGCAATGGTGACGGCAGTGGAAGCTGACAATGGTGTAGGTGGGCGTGACGATAACAGAAGACGATGGTGGTAGAAGACGACAGTGGTGTAGGCGGTGGCAAAAGGCGGTGGCAGTGTGAAAGGCGACAGTGGTGTAGGTGGTGTTGGAAAAAACAATACTATATATATATATACACTAGTAAAATGGTACGTGCAACGCACGTGAGTAAAATCTAATTTAAAATTAATATTCAACAAAGTAATTAAATAATTATTTTCTCACATAGTAATTAAAATTATTATTTTTAAATAATCACACATTAATATATTAATTAAGATAAATAAAATTACAAGATTAAATAATGATAACAATTTATAAATCTTTACAATAATAAAATAGAAAATTATTCTATAAAACATAATTAGCAAAATTCTAAAATGATCAATGAACATAACATTAGAGATAAATATAATTATTATTAATTAAACTTTTCAATAGGAATTCAATTATTGATAGGCATATTTTCAAACTCCTAAAATAATATCAAAATCGAAGACTATTTTTTTTTTTAATTACAATTCACTAGTACTTATTTTAGTATGAATAATATTCAACAAGTCAATGAATATAATTATTGAATATTTTATTTATCTACTAAGACTTATATATTTCTTTTTATATATTTTCTTGTCTAATTAGAGAGACTAAATTATTTATTTTTTTTATATATATTTCTTTGTCTACTTAGATTTTCTTTTATTAAAAAAACTCATAATAAATAGGTAATTTGAGTTTTATAGAGACTCTTCTAAACACCTTGTATTAATTAAAAAAAATAAAAACTCATAATAAATAGGTAATTTGTGTTAGAGTTTTATACAAACTCTTTTAAAAACTCTTTTTATATCAATTAATAAATATTTTTTTATATTAATAAATAAATTTTAAAATACTGAAATTCTTTACACTTTTAATAATAGTATAGATGTAGATAAATTACTGAAATATTGTTATTTAAATATTATAAAGAATTTTAAAATGAAATTATAAATCAATATAATCATAAAATAAACTATATAAATATAAAGAACCTATTAATAGTCCAAGGATAGAATTTAATTATATATCCTTAAGACAAATTTGCTCTGCTATAGTACTGACGGACTTTGTGGCGTCTGTCTCTCAGGATACAACGACCTTTCTTTTTTCGGTGGCAGCACTTCAAACTGAAGAAATGGGCGAACCGACTAGGTGTAGTACTCCTTCTATGGACCAAACTCAAACCTACACACTAAAACTATATGTATGTAGAAAAGAAAGGTAGAAAGAGAGAATTCAGAAATTTGTAAAGAAGATTATGAATAACACGCTTTGTAAATGAACCAAGGGAGTATTTATAGGCAACTAGGTGCCTTTAAAGGTGACCCGAATGTCACCTTCACCAGACACGATGGTTCAGTCCAAAATGTAAGCACTGGTTCGGACTAGATGCACATTTTCGTGATAACCACAAGAGTAAATCCAACCCAATTCAATAATCTGTTAAACAACAAATTAACTAGATTTTACAATTAATCCTAAGCCTAGGAATTGGGCGGGGCACACATGTGTGATGAATGGTTTGGACCTAAGCTAGCCGTACTCCCCTCTTAAAAACTTGGGTACCATTGGAAAAGTAAATATATTACGTTCATTTCTTTGCGAACAAGAACGCATTCGTCTATTGATCCACAAGAATTTTTTAGCGGAATCTACTTTAAATTTTGCCTAAAGTTTCTATTTTGTATGTTTCATTTCCAACAGGTGGTGGTGATGAAAGACAATAGAGGTAGCAGTGGCGGCGGCAACAATGTCAGTGTGGTAGTGGTGGTGATTTTTGGACTTGAAATGTGAATTTTTTTGTTAAAAAATAAAAAATTACTTGTAAATTATTATAATTATAGTCAAGGGCCTTGTAATATAGTAATTTCTTGTTACAAGTGCCATTTGTCCCACATCGGATCCGGATGGGAAAGTGATTATGTATAAATGGGTGGGTATGTAATACTATCCAACAACTTGAGCTTTTGGATAAATGGGCAAGCGCTCACCCGTTATAGTTGGTATTAGAGTCAGACCTAATCCTTGATCCGATGCCATGCCAAGCGTCCGACCCGGAAGGTGTCCGAGTGAGCTACCACAGATAGGCAGGGTAGCTCGACTGTAATGAGGGTGTTGGGAGATCGGGTGGGGCAGAATGTTACTATGGGCCATTTATCCTACATCGGATCCGGATGAAAAAGTGATTGTGTATAAATGAGTGGGTATGTAACACTATCCAACAACTTGAATTTTGGAATAAATGGACAAGCGCTCACCCGTTAAATTTCTCTTCCACATTCTAAAGTAAAAGGCCAAAATGAGTGTGTGAGTGGTGTCAATGAAAAAGAAAAACTTTTTCCTTTCAATTATTGTCACTTTAATTTTCTTACCAATTCCAGTGGACTTCACATTTATGATGCAAATTAATACATTGATTTTGAGTACCACAACCTTTACATTAATGTGGTATTTGGTGAACGAAGAATAAGTAGTAATTTGAATATAATTTTGGCTATTTTGCAACAATTATATTCCAGCGAAAAATAAGAAGAAAAAAACAGTCCTTAATTTTTGTATTAATAGGACTACAAAATTTAAGGCAGCCTTGTTGTACTAAAATACGGAGACAACCTTATTTTAGAAAGAAAAAAAAAAAAGATTTCACTTGTGTGAGCTTTCCATAACTATTTTGATTATGACAATAAAAATGATGATGAAATTGAAATTGTCTAATGTATATTGTTATATGAAGCCCATGAGTACATGATTTTACTGAGACTACAATGGTTGTTATAAAATACTCGTAATATCATAAAATACTAAACATATAAATGTAAATCACTTCCGCGTAAGAAGAGAACTCATATCATCTAAAGCTAATTATATGATTGTTAATTAACGTTAAATTTTATGTTTTACCAAACGCAAAAAATAGATTTCATCACGAGAGTATTTTGTGGCACACATTTTGTGTGGATAAAATTTCGTATTAAATTAATACGCAGATCGATCACTCCATCTTTCGAGTTGGATTCTTAATTATAAATATTAAACTTTTTTTTTCCCCCAATTTCAAGACACTAATATCATTCTAACATAACCTAATCTAAAAACAAAGAAGAAAAAAAAAACTTTTTATATATTTGTGGCCAAGTAGGAATCCATTTTCCTTTTTTTGAAGTTGACAACTTGTTTGGCTTAGGTGTTTGCCAACACTGGGTTAAGCAGATTTCCCATAGATCAAACCATTTTTCTTTAATGCAATGTTATGCTTCTTACTGATTTAAGTGGAAAAATTCCAAGTTTTCTTCCTTAAACAGTTCCATAATTTATTTTCTATAATAGCTCCTAACTCCAATTGAAATGTCTCTTTAAAGTTGTAATTGCAGGTTTTTAGGATTTTGTTGGAATCTCAAGTTTTCTTCTGCTCTATGTTTTTGAATTCTTTGTTCTATGCAATTTTTTCTATAAAAAATATTTATAATCTAAATGAACACTTGGCAATGAGCAATGAGCAAAAAATATGCCTGTTTTGAACTTTTGATTCTTGCAGACAGAAGGATAAACTGAAATATATGGGTTTTGAACTTCTAATTCTTGTAGATTTTGTAGGCAATTGCGCAGAGAGAGAGAGAGAGAGAGAGAGAGAGGGGGGCAAGTTTGCAGTTGAAAAATATTTTGTTTTTTGGTTTAGTTACTAAAAATATAATCAAATATATATATATAAAACAAAAATTAAAAATAATAAAATAATAATAATTCAACCGTGAATCCGACCCAACCTGCACGAACATATTTGGTCTAGGTTATAATCCAACCCATATTGGGTGTAATTTGGGTTGACCCAACCCAACCCAATTTTGGGTTGAGGTTGGGTTGGGGCTGGGCTGGGTTGGGCCAGCCCAAGTTGCACCCGTACCCTTTATATTTTTCACTTTTTATCGTATTTTTTCTTGGCAGGAAAAGGAGATTTAATTTGGGTATCAAGCAAGTCACACACTGTTGTAGTTCTATTTTTCGAATCTGGTCTTCCCGCGCCTATATATAGCCAGATGTGGCTCTTTTCATTAATTTATTCATTCCGAATTTCTGTTTATCGCTGAAGCACGAAAGCAATGGGGAAACGATTGCGAAGGGAGAAATCAATCTGCTGCTGCATCTCTCCTCGATCCACCTTTCTCACTCCTCACTCCACTTTCTACTGGTTCTCTCTCTCTCTCTCTCTAATCTATATACATATAATATAGATGAACACAAATATATATATATATATATATCTACCTAAGTGCGCATAAATTAGAATACAAATCGCTTTGAAGCTTGATTTGAATTCCGTTTCTGACGAATTTCAAATCGAGTTTGAATTTTTGCTTGAATTTTTGACCAGTCACTGATCCAAGTGTAAAAAGCTATTGGAATCTCTGTATTGATTTATTTTTATTTATTTTTTTTTTCCTGTTCCTGCTGATCTCAGCCTCATTTGATCTTGTATCGTTTTAGATTCAGACTATTTTTGACTGTTAATCTTGATATTCTGATATATAATGCACTTGACGTTTGGTCTCAAAGTCTAAATTTTAGCTGATTTCATGAATTTTGAATTAGTTCCTTCTGTTAGATCGATGCATTCTTTGAACTGTTCCCGGGAAATAACTCTACTTCTTCTTCGCTTCATCACATATGCAGCTCAAGTGTATATATATATATACGTACACATGTATGTATTGATTGTTCTAATTCGATTTACTATTCAAACATTTTCGCATTTAACAGTTTTGATCTGAAGATCAATTCAAAAAAGAACAGGTAACCTGTTTGTGTACTGGAAAGCTCAATCTGTGTGTGTTTATAGATCAAAATCTGTCTCTGCTCCAAACATGCTGATCAATATTGAAATCTAAAGCTTGATCGATCAGAATTAAGTTTGAATTAAAAAAATATGAGATGCTATTTGTGCTTTGATTGTTCTAATTCGATTTACGATTCAAACATTTTCGCATTTAACTGTTTCTATTATTTGAACACAAAATTACAGTTACGAAGAGGACGTGTGGACGGAGATCGCCAAGTACTTGGACGGAAAATCTCTGGTGATGCTCGCAGCAACGGGCAAGTGGTTCCACCGCATTATCATGGATGAGAGTATATGGAACTTTACCTGTTTGCGCGATCTTCAAGTCCCTGATCCTCGCAAGGTGTCCTTCAAATGGATCAAGCTTTACGCTTCAGCTTTCGGTGATGATCATATCCTTCAAATGACTTGCCACGTGTCTATTTTTGATATAGTGTTGCAACAGTTTAAGGTAGACTAGTGTCCGCTTAAGTCTCGCCGTCTGATCAACTCTGTTTGATTACTGTGACGCAGATGGAAGTCACTCTTACATGTTTCGTCAGCAGGAGAAACATATTGGTATATACTCACACACAATCACTCTCTCTGTTTATTTTCTTTTATTCCTATTTTTTATTTTTCTGGTGATTTATGATTGTTGGGTAGTGTGAAAATTCTGATTGTCCTGTGATTACAATATAATAGGTGATTTTGTAACAAGTCGTGTCAATTTTTCCACACTTTTTTAATATTAATTGGGACTTGATTGGCATGAAGTATCTGTCTCGATGGTCTCGGAACCACCTTATCATCAGCAAGGATCTCAGGCTTGTTACTATTACTTTTTTAAGTATATTTAGTCCCTTCATTGTTAAGTTGTTACTATTGCTTTTACAAGTATATAAATTGCATTTGCCTCAGATTTTGATGGAATTACATTTGCCTCAGATTTGGGTGGAATTGCATTTGCTTTACTATAGGAAAACAACAAATTTATCTACATGATGTGATTCAGATTAGCTTTGTGTTTGGATGGTACTTCAGTGTTTTTGATGCCTTATGTGAAGAACAAGCTGAACATGAGCGGAACACTAATGAATATGTGTTGGATTGCCCCTGCATATGACACTTCTTAATACCAATATACATCAGCCTTTAGTTACATTGGAAGTTAATGGTCGCATGAATTTCTTCAGCACTTAAAGAGGGAAACTAAAGAGAGAACTATACATGTTTTACATTTTCTCAAGCAGAAAATAAATACATTCCATGTCATATCTCATGTCTGAACTCCAGACACATAAATGTTCTTTTCTTTTTTGATGGATCAACCAGATTGGATGCGGATCGGGGCATTTTTCTTTGACTCACCAGTAGCATTCCTGACAGAGAAGCTGATTGCTCCAGCGAAAATTCCAATAGAAGAAGGCTTAGATAAAATGTTGCAGTCGAATGGCTTTTGCGTGTTAAACAACATTAAATCTGGCATCTGGATTGCTGGTACACTTCACTGTCCTGGAAATTCCTTAGGCAGGGTCAATATGTTGAAATTCATTACTATCCCTTTAGCTGTATTCTGACCAGGAGCATGTTTTCAGATTTACAGCTTGTTCGATGCCCTGTTTGTGACCTCAATACATGTGATGGTGAGCAATGGAATTGCCTTCTTCTGTCCATAATGTACTTGAATGAGTATTTTAATTAAGATCAATAGACATTATTAGTGATTATGGATGTGATTAAAGAGGTAAGAGTTAGTTCCACTTCGTGTTCTAATCATCACTCAATGCATTGAAAATGGCAATCACTCAATCTGGAGTGAATTGCATTTTTTTTTTCTGCATTGATGACAGAAATAGCATTCTCCTGCTCAATGTTAACAGTTTCGCGAATCATACCAAACATAGTAAAGAGAGGTGATACATCCTATTTGAATGTTCCTGCTTGTTTAGTTGGTTTAATGACCAAAATCTTCCACATAAACAACTTCCAATTATGGATGTATGTTACGTTCTTCCATTAAGAACACAAAACTCAGAAGGTTCATCTATGAAGGTTGAGGGACATATAGATGAAAAATTTACACTTGATTCTATGCAGGAACAATGCAGACACTGGATGCAAGGCAAATGGAGCTCTTTCTGAATGACAAATACAAGGACGGGAGCTGGGAGTACAAGCTGATAGGATCCCATGATGTCAAAAAGCATATAGATGGAGCTTGTGGTGCCATTTTTGACATTAAACACCTCAAGGATCCCTCAACATCTGGTAATTTTCTTACTCCATGGCTAGTTTAACATACCATATTATATAGCATTTTTTCTGTTAATTGGAAAAAATTGAAACTGTGATCAACATCCGTAAGGCCTAAGAAAGAGGACTGCTTAATTAAGAGGATCTCTCGTATACAGAAGTTTAATGGGGAGCATAATGATATAATCGCTGTGATTCCTCATATTCTTAAAACAAATCGGGGATTGTGGTAAAAAGAGAAGAAAATAATAAAATAGAAAAATACTTCATGTTCATGGACGGTATGACAAGAAATTTGAGATGTTTCAGGATTTGGGATGTAAATATAAATATTCTATGATATTTCTGAAAGCACTTAAGACGAGAAAATAGAACTTAAGGCTGTTATTGTAAGCTTAAGGGTGTAATTAAAATGGTTGTTCTATAACTTGAGGTTTCTGTTACCCTTTCAACTCTAAAGAATTCTTAATCATTGATGGAGCATTAGAGAAATTCTTTCTGATAAGTTTTCACGAGAACATGTATATTGATAACGTTTTAATCTCATTAGGATTGTCGTTGTCTTAGTCATGCGGCTTGTAGGCATTTCAAAAGTTCCTGGTTATTAGAACAGAAATGAATATAGATACGTTTTTTTTTTTTTCCCTTTCAGAAATGTAAATTGAATGCGATTGTCCAGCATTATGATCTGAAAGCCAGAAATATATGCATGATGAAAAGATATTGCAATCAATTGGTATGCACCTGTCACACATAAGAATTGATGAATTAAAAAATATTGAAGGGATGTGATTTACTATTGATCACCCATTCACTTTCCTACAGTGGCAAGTGATATGTTAGTGAAATGTTTGGTTGCTTCCTTATTCAGGAGAATTTTTCATACGCGATATCAACTACCAGACACCACAAATACAACTCTACGATCCATATTATTGCCTCCCAAGACGGCTATTGGACATCAATCTTTCAGGTTATTATCAGAACTACACCTTCCTTAGCTGCCCATCTGAGCTCACGAGGTCTCGATTCACTTCCATCGATTGCCTCAGTAATTCCACAAACACTACTTTAGCTACATCTTCAATGACTCTTGTAACATCTATGACCATGTGCAAGATAATGGCTGCTTTGCTATTATCAGTAATTCCACAAACACTACTTTAGCTACATTGTCAACAATTACTGTTCCACTTTGATACCAAGTACTCACAGGGCATGACAGCGTATGAATACTTTTACATCTTTACCAGTGTGCAACATGGAGATCTGGTCTTATTGATATCCCAAAATAATAATAATAATAATTTTGCCTTCTCACTATCAGAGAAAGAACTTCTGATACCAAAACAGAATGGTGAACATATATGACAATATAAAATCATGAAGATCAAATTTTGGACGAGTTTAATGTTATACTTCATTTCCAGGTAGGACTAACAGCCTCAGAGTTTTCAGCATCATTGCCTTGGTCATTGTCCTTCCATCCATCACATGTGCATTTGGTATTGCATTTTTCATGTGTTGCATGGACGACGGAAATCTACGCAGTCCTGCTACCAATACCACACTCACCGTAGCTGCAGTAACACCGCAATCAACCAACTTATCGACAGGCTTAGATGAATCAACCATTGAGTCCTACACCAAAGTAGTCCTCGGTGAGAGCAGACGCCTTCCATGGCCAAATGATAACACTTGCCCAATATGCTTGTCAGATTACAGCCCCAAAGAGACAGTCAGGTGTATACCTGAGTGCATGTACTTTAACTATAAACAACGAATAGCAAGTAAAGATCATGTTGTGCCATTGCTAATTATACATATATTCATTATGTCAGAATTTCAAGGCATAATGAGGATAATCTCATTAAACTGTTTCACAAAGTTGCAGCTTTACAACAGGAGTATCAACTAATAACCAGTAGTACAACTAAAGATGCACACTTCAGCATGGATCTCACTAATGGTACAAATCGACACAAAATAGAACCAAGTCAGATGAAGCATACTAGAAAACCTCATTTCTTGGCAAGCAGCTTTTTTGGAAGCATCTCCACGGGCGTGGTCTTGAGCAGGAAAAGCCTGGCAGCTCGCTCTCGCAAAGTACCCCCACATTTAAGCCCCCGGGCTTGCAACTCAGATTTCAATCTTTCCATGCCAAGAACCTATAATTCCGCCGGAAAAAAATACAATAATATTAGTTGCTGTTGCCAAAATAGACCTTCAGTTTTATAAACAATGGGATAAAACATAATGATTATGATGCTCATAAGATGAATGATGACACAGGCCAAAATTTTGGTTGCAAATTTATGAACTTAGACTGTTCAAATTAAAAGCACATTAACACAACAAATTGAAGTTAGTGTTCCAAATCAGATTCCACTTTTCAAATAAAAGCAATCATCACATACAATGATCCTTCCCTTACAAGGAATCATTCAACTTAATATTGAAAGAGAATCAGCCACCTGGTGTTTAAGAGACGCATACAACAGTTGAAGTAGAAAGCAGATAACATAATCCGAAAGTGCATTTTATCTGTTCTCCCTACTCTCCTCTTGAGATTAGGCATAACCACAATGACATCTCCTATTGTTTGGGACAAGAACACACTTACCATCCATTTAATATTTGCTTCGTGCCCAAACATCTCAATTTGACTATTACCTAGACATACCTGATACACAAAGGGAGTGGGTCCCTCTGTAAATTGTGTATTTTATTCCTGCAGAGAGGTGTGGACACCACCTTGTTATCTAAAAAAATATGAAAGGACTATAATGATGTCATCATTTAATATATCCGAATACCTATTTTACCTCCTTTTTAGTAATAAAAATGCATAATCAATTTTCCCCATAAAAGAAAGGCAAACGTCTATTGTGTCCTTAGTGAGAGGGAGAATGGAAATTCTGATTTAATTTGACGAGTCGCGATCAACCCTCACACAAACCCAGTATAAATCCTATTTAACTCAAACCCTCAAACCAAGTTAACTCAATGAACCATATAACCCGCCTCCCCAAATATCACCTTTATCTAACACCACCCAAAATAAATTCCTTTCCTACATCTACCAATCTACCACCATAAGCATCACAAATTCTACCGACACAACCACAACTCACAAAATCTCAACCACACCAATTGTTTGGCATGGTCACCATAGATAATTTACCCTTTAAATAATTTCTGGAATCCAATTGTCTCCTCCACCTACCAACCCCATAAACACCATGGCTGCTCAAACCAATAGACCATTGACAGACTCATCAACCACAGGTAAGCCCGCCAATTTTTATCAGCATCTTAGGCCCATAACAACAATAGTGGACCACAACCACAACCACAACCGGCGTATTCAATCAAATAAAAAAGGAAAGAAAGTAGTTCTATAAGTTAATCAAATCCAAATGACAAATCAGTAGTAATGATGGAAGAAATAAGATATTCGAAATAATTTAAGGTTTTCAAATTTGAGTTTGTGATTTAAATTTGTGTTTACATTCCATTGAAGATTGAGAATTCTTTCACACTGCTTAGTGCTTATCGATTTTTTCTGCAATCGAATCAATTTGCGACGTAGGTTTTGATTAGAAACAAATTACAGTTATCTAAGCTTACTTTTTCTAATTACTGGATTAGAGACAGAAAATTATTGGGAATAAGAAAACCCAGTAAGAAAAGATCCTCAAATGGAAACAACTCCTAATAAACCCCACTATGGAGATTGTGGTGGTGCTACTAGGCTCATCAACGGTCAATTGCAGCTGTATTAATTATGAATGAAAAACAGTGAAGATGGATTCTGGATTCTCTTTTTCTCAGGTATTTTGTGTGTGAAATACCAGCGAATAGATTTAACATTGTGGCAGCAATGGTCAATTGATCAACTTTGTGGCTGATGAAAGTTGTGACATTGTCCCCTTTCCTCCTTAGTCACTGTAGAGGGGCTTCAATGAATACAATCTCATTGTGGTTGTCAGGTAAATATTTTGTGTTCTCTCTCCATCTCTCACATTCTTGATGAAGGTGGGGGCCCATAGTGTTGTGGTCATGGACTGGTACTAATCAATGTGAAAATGGTTATTACCAAAATTGAGAAAAATGGACTTATCAAAAAAAAAAAAAAATTTGAGAAAAATGGTGATGGTAGAGATTATCGGGTGGACTTATTAAAATACCATGGTAGCAGGTGAGAAGGATCCACTCTTTCGCCCACTCACAGACAACACTGGTAGTTTTGTACTTCTAAAATTAGTTAACTTTTATACTAGAAAAAATCTACATAAATAGGAGGGGTAAGACGTATAACTCAATTACTGCCAACTGCCTCTAACAGACAAGGGATGAAAGGAGAGGTAAATGTAATTCTCAATCAAAATAAATTACAGCTTCTTGAGAAATAAATTTGATTAACAAACTGGATAAGTTTCAAAAGATGGAGTGGCAAAAGAAAAGTAAATAAATCAAACAACAAAATTTAACACCAATATATGAAAATAGTAGCACAAGAAAATTGATCATCGGGAGCATACCTCCATTTCTGTTTCAGAACTATAGTCATCGAAGTTCAATGGCTTCTCTATATCACACATATTTGTGCTTGTGACCACTGTTTCCTCAAGAACTACTAATTTGGATTCCGAATCCCGGTTAATTTCCGAATCACTTTCTCCACTTGAAAAATCCGCCGCCTCTGCAGAGCTGGAAGTTATAGATGGTTGACCAACACTTCCCTCCACATTCCCAAACACAGATCCATCAGATGCTTGCTTTTCAGGCTGAAATGCTTCAGTTGCAGAAACTACTGCCCGCTCCTGGAAAGGTATATCCATCTTTTCTTCATGAACCTCTAAAGCTAGTTCAGCAGCCACATTGCCTTCACTGTGAGCTGCATCTCCACAAGGACTTCCATTAGATTCTAAATCTCCTGCTACCACAGTTCCCTCACCCTCAGAACCGCTCTCAGATGAAATCCCATCGGAAGATTCTCCACCAAGTTTCCCACCAGTAACAGAGCCAGGACTCCCCTCTGTTTCCTTATTCGAAGATGAATGATTCATGTGATTAATAATGACAGACTTCTCATTTTCCTCCTCATCATCAGAGCTGTCATCCTCATCCATATCATCACCGTCACTATCATTCTCACCCAATTTTCTCTTTCCCATCCTAACAAAATCAAATGAAAACAAATTTTTGAGTGATAAAGTTTCTGTTATATTCTATGATAAGCTACAGTTCATGTCAGAAAGATAATTCAACATAACTATCCCAATTGATTGAGCTAAGCATATTTGGTTGGAGCTCCCCCTTATTTTAAATAGGTTTTGGAAACAAAAAATCAAAAAGGAAAACCCACAAATGAGCTTCATTCAACTATGCAGATTTCTCAGAAACCAAGCAAAACATTTGCCAATATTAATTCAAATTAACTGATGCAAAAATTAAAATTTCATTTTAATATAAAAAAAGTAATAACGTAGAAATTAATAAGTGTAGAACCTAATCATTACCATATCTTCAATCTTTTTCCTTCCGATCCATTCAACCCGGCAGCCTTGCGTTTGGAATTCACCAACCCGGCAATGGATTCTCTCACCGATCTATCGACCTCCTCCATACACTTGGCCGATTCCTCTCTATACTTCTCCACATATTTATCCGCCTCCCCCGCCCCTCCAGCCTTCTTCACCGTTTTCGCCTTCTTCTTGATAAACTCCTCGGCGATCTTCTCGAGCCGCCTCTCCTCCTCCTCCGCCTTCCACTCCTCCAGCTTCTTCTCCGCGTTCACGTGCCTTAGCCGCCGTCCACTCATATCACGACAAGCATCGAAATTGTTGGTCTTCTTCTGCCCGGCCTTGGTGGCGGCGCCACGGAGGAGCGAGCCAAAGCCGCCCTTGCCGCCGCGGAGGCGTAGGAGGAGGTGCACCGTGGGGAACAAGCGGGTGCCATCGTCGGTAATTAGGGTTTGGTCTTCAAGTTGCCGGCCGTTGGATAGGAGCCGTTGATTTTGGATAGGGATGGTGGTGATCTCGCAGAGACGGTGTTTGATAGAGTTGGCTGATATTGATGGAGACGCGAAATTGAGGATTTTGTGCTTGCCGTCTAATACTCTCACCAATACTTGATAGATCTCCGCCATAATCAAATCTCTCTCTCTATCTATATCAATGACAAATCAACCAATCGATTCCTGAATCTTATTATGATATATAAACCCTATAAAGTTTATAGAATCCAAGCCCTAGAAAATATAGATCCTCTCTCACCCTTAATCAGGAGCTCCGAATATTCCTTTCCTTTCCTTTCCATTCCATTATTGGGGATGCTACCAAATTTGATGATCTTATTTGGAAACTAAAATGAAGTTGGAAGAAAGCAAAAATTCGATGAGGAAGCTGGTACTCTCCACGACTGTCAATAAGATCTGGATGGAGCGAAACAATAGGGTGTCCACAAATCAGAAGAATTCACAAATGGTGGTATTAAGGCAAATCACTGACATGGTTAGGCAAAAATTATGCCCTAGACTAGACATTGTCTTTGTATCTGTTGGGCTTGGGCCAGTGATCTATTTCTTTGTTAGCTTTTGGTTGGGCTTAGTCCATCATTCGTGGGCTAGCCTATTCTTTTGGAATGCGTTGTAAAGTTTTTTTATTGCAATACATACTTAACTTCCGAAAAAAAAAAAAAAAAAAGCAATTTTGTTTTAGTGAAAGAAACATACATCAGCTCATATGGCTTGTTTGGATGCCCCCAACGAAGTTAAGGGTCCATCCAGTAAAGACTAAAGAGAGTCCAATGATCCGAGTTATGACTGACTACTCTGGAAATTAACTAAAGAACAAGGTTGTGTTTGGGGAGGCTTCTTGATGTAAAAAGTCCTTTCATTATAAAGGGCTTACAAAAATGCCTTTGCAAAAATAAATTTGAGAATAAAAAGTTGTTTGGCTAACATCATGTGGAAAAGTGCTTTTACCTGCAAAAGTGATTTTATTCACATGATGTACATTTGGTAACAATATGTCAAAAAGCCCCTCTATTATTAAATAATTTCAAATTTATAATAATAACCTTCCATAATATTTACATATATCTTACATCAAACACAATTATTGAATCATATTAGTATCAATTATGAAAAAAAATAATAATAAATAAAGAATCATATTAGTACCAGTATTTTGTCATCCTAAAAACCACATAGAGTATTGCCATTAATATTTTCTAACATATTCTAAGAACACGATGATCATCAATTTTACAACTATAACAAACCCAGGAATCTTTACATCCATAACGAGTCCAGGAATCGTTACATCCATATGGACTTGCTATGCAAATTGCTCTGCACTAGGATATATTTCCAATTAAATCAAAAGGGAGGAGAAACTCTATTCACTTTTCTTTATCAATTTGAATTCATATTACATGTTATTACATTTAAGTAAGAAAGAAGAAGAAGAGAAACGGAAACCATTATTTAAGACCTGCTTTTCAATCACCGGAACATTTTTTATCGCCCAAACATTATTATCCCTGTGTATAGCCCAAGTGATTGGATCCTTTGTTGTAGTTTTATCGCCCAAACATTTTTATCCCTGTGTATAGCCCAAGTGATTGGAACATTTTTTATCGCCCAAACATTTTTATCCCTGTGTATAGCCCAAGTGATTGGATCCTTTGTTGTAGTTTTATCGCCCAAACATTTTTATCCCTGTGTATAGCCCAAGTGCCTGTGTATAGCCCAAGTGATTGGATCCTTTGTTGTAGTTTTATCGCCCAAACATTTTTATCCCTGTGTATAGCCCAAGTGATTCACTTGGGCTATACACAGGGATAAAAATGTTTGGGCGATAAAACTACAACAAAGGATCCAATCACTTGGGCTATACACAGGGAATCACTTGGGCTATACACAGGGATAAAAATGTTTGGGCGATAAAACTACAACAAAGGATCCAATCACTTGGGCTATACACAGGGATAAAAACGTTTGGGCGATAAAAAATGTTCTGGTGATTGAAAAATAAACGCCTATGATAATAAGGAGTTTAATCGGATAGCCTAGTGGTACTTTCTTACTTTCTAAAATGCCTATGATATTAAGGAGTTTAATCAGATAGCTTAGTGGTACTTTCTTGCCTTCTAAAATGGAAGGACTATGGCTGAAGTCCTCGCAGAAGCAAAATGGATGAATGACTTTCTTGCCAAGGTAAAAAAAAAAAAAAAATAGTTACATATACTTGTCAAAGCCTAAATTTAAGCAAAATTCTATTATTTTACGAGGTCAATCCAAATTGTTAAGATGGTAAAAACCTCTCCTAGTTATTATTATTATAGGCAAGTATTTTACATAAAAATTAACTTTAATGGAAACCAAAAATCTTGAGAGAGTGGTCACGAGGGATAATTTCTCTTTGACAATATTAAACTGTAAAGCTAACATCAACAAGTACCAGACACCTACTTTTCGAAAGGGGGGTCAGGAGTTTGAGTCTCAATGAAAACATGTGTGTTTGAGTACCAACTAAGAGAGAGAGAGAGAGAGAGAGAAAAAAAAAAAAATTGTAAAGCTAACATAGTTCTTTAGTTAATTTCCAAAGTAGTCAATGAACTGAAATATATGGGTTTTGAACTTCTAATTTTTGTAGATTTTGTAGTTTGCAATTGTGTACAGAGAGAGAGAGACAGAGAGGGCAAGTTTGTAGTTGAAAAATATTTTATTTTTTTGGTTTAGTTACTAAAAATATAATCAAATATATATAAAAAATAATAATAAAAAAAGTTAAAAATAACTCAACCCGTGAACCCGACCCGACCCGACCGAACATATTTGGTTCGAGTTATAACCCAACTCATATTGGGTGCAATTCGGGTTGGCCCACCCCGACCTGATTTAGAGTTGAGGTTGGGTTGGGGTTGGGCTCGGTTGGGCCAGCCCTTGCACCCTCCACAAAAAAAAAAATAAAAAGAAAAATAAAGAAAAAGGACCACTCTTGACTGTTATAATGATTTGTGGAAGTATGTTTCCCACATGAGATGTGGTAGAATGAAATGTTTGATGGTCCGGTCAACACATGTGGCCATGAACGTGGGGGGCAATTATTTAAGCATCTCAAATGCTAGCCATCTACTTGCCCTATTTAACTTGCATAAAAGCTTGCAAATCACATGGCAATTTTTGGTTACATATTATTATTATTTTTTTTATTTCTCTTTTTGAATAAATTACCTTTACTTCATCTTAAGTTTTCTTTTTGCCTTAATCAAGATTATGGTAAGTCTCTCATCAAGTTTTTGTCAAAATACGGCTATGCTATGTCATGGAGTACTGCATCATTAGTTTGAGTTCGAAATTTGAAAAAATTTAGTTAAACTTTGAACTAATTTTTTTTTTTTAATTTCAAATTTAATGTACCGATTTGAATGTTTTGAAGCATAACTTTGCTTCTTGAATTTATAATTAGAGATAATTTTATTAAAACATGAACTAAATATCATTTGATTACAAATTTAATGTACCGATTCCGTACTCTGTTAGTGCCATTGAAATTTTGTCTTAAATGCCAAGATTAGCCTTAATTCCAATGAAATTACACACTTACCCCCTCCCCTCTCTCACCTCACATTGCATAAAATCCACCTTAATTAAAGGAAAATAATAGAAGTCACGAATCAATATTATCAATAAGTAATTGATGTGTCTTGCTATTGTTGATTTAAACACTAAGAAAGAAGACAGAGCTCTCTTTATCTGTCAATTAAAAATCCTTCTCGGATACTAATCATTGAAATAGCAAAAAAAAAAAAAAACCATCGCCAAGTTTAGCATTGTTGTAATTTATTAGATGTATAATATTAGATGTATGTACGGAGAGGAGCCAATCAATTTGCCACCACCATTATTGTTGAACCTAATCTCCCGTCATCATCAACCATCAACCAAACACAATTTAGCAAGTCCACTTGACATAACAACATTTGTTTTCTCCACGAGTTTTAAATACATGAAAGTAGCAAGGATTTTTAGTTAGAAATGACAATGGAACAAGTTTGAGGTGGGATCCTTTTCCGATAACTGTTCATGTCTAAGAGAGTAGTCTTGTTCGTACTCAAAATCATATAAGTACATGAAGTTAAGTAGGCGAACTAGTAAATCAGAAATGCAACACACTGCATCGTGAGATCATTGGGATGTAACATGCATGCAACAATAATGTAATATTTGTGCAAAACATTTATATTGAATATGTAATACTCGTGCAACGTATATACATCATGTTGCAATGCATTTTACGTAATTGTTGAATTATATATTAATTTAAAGTTGTTGCATTTTTAATGTAAAGTTTAATTTTGATTTAAACACAGAAGACATACACAAAAGATGGAAAAGAAGAAGAGGAGACGAGGTGTCAAAACTTATTTATAAATAAGCTTAAGATTGCAAATAAAGAATTGTTGAAGAAATACATGCGTTAAATATGATAACTGATACGAAATAGGGAGTGAAATGACATGTAGATTGTTTCTAAGATGAGAGACAATATTTTACTAATTTGAAACTTATTAAATTATGATCCGTAGTTTTATCCTAAATGGATGGGAAAATTGTGAATTCTGCATCTTTTTTATTAATTTTTTTTCTTTTATTTTTTAGTTGATCAATGAAGATATTGTTTTGTAAACATATTATGGGTTGCAGTCATTGTATTGGTCATCGTACCTTAAAAATGATTACAAACCAATTGAAATTGCAAACCATAACACATATAGATTGAATCTTTATTTTATCAAGATCACGAACCGTTCTAAGATTAAATCTTCATTTTATCAAGATAACGAACAGCTCTAAGATTGAATCTTTACTTTATCAAGGTAAAAATAGACAAAACAGGATAAAAAATTAGAAATTCTATAACTTAAAAAAAAATTCTATATTAAAGTTGATTCAATTAATTTGCGAGAAAAAAAAATAATAATAAATAAATAAATACTCCGTGTGAATGTGGATTCCAAAGGCCTTTACCCTTTTTTTGATTGAGACATTTGAGGATTAATATAGGACTGTCGTGAGGTACATTATGTGATACCACAAGTTAAAATTGTCTCATGTAATTAAAATGTCCTTTAAAATTGTCTCATGCATTAAAGATGTTCAGTAAGCTAATCAATAAATATATTTTGTCATATTAGTAAAAAAAATTAAATCTAATATTCTCTTTAATGTCACTGCATTTGGTAAGTGAGAGTGAAATAAAATACAACTGAAAATAAAATAGAATAATATATTTTTTGTTTTTATTATTTGGTTGCAAATATAAAATGATGTAAAAATGAAATGTTCAGCATCATTCTACCACCATTTTACTATTTAGTTGAACCAATTTAAAACTAAAAATGGAATGAATTTCAAATTGGATTCTCAAAAATACTTTTTTTGGTGACAAATAAATTAAATTAACGCAATAATATTCTTCTATAATTTTGTAAAAGAAATGATGGTGGTAGGGGTGGTGGAAGGCAACGGTGACGGCGGTGGAAGCTGACAATGGTGTAGGTGGGCGTGACGGTAACGGAAGACGATGGTGGTAGAAGACGACAGTGGTGGCAAAAGGCAGTGGCAGTGTGAAAGGCGACAGTGGTGTAGGTGGTGTTGAAAAAAACAATACTATATATATATAAACACACACACATACTAGTAAAACGGTACATGCGTTGCACGTGAGTAAAATCTAATTTAAAATTAATATTTAACAAAGTAATTAAATAATTATTTTCTCACATAGTAATCAAAATTAATTTCCGAAAATAATCACACATTAATATATTAATTAAGATAAATAAAATTTCAAGATTAAATAATGATAACAATTTATAAAATCTTTACATTAATAAAATAGAAAATTATTTTATAAAACATAATTAGCAAAATTCTAAAATGATCAATGAACATAACATTAGAGATAAATATAATAATTATTAATTAAACTTTTCAATAGGAATTCAATTATTGATAGGCGTATTTTCAAACTCCTAAAATAATATCAAAATCAAGACTATTTTTTTTATTACAATTCACTAGTACTTATTTTAGTATGAATAATATTCAACAAGTCAATGAATATAATTATTGAATATTTTATTTATCTACTAAGACTTATATATTTCTTTTTATATATTTTCTTGTCTAATTAGAGAGACTAAATTATTTATTTTTTTATATATTTCTTTGTCTCCTTGGATTTTTTTTAAATTAAAAAACTCATAATAAATAGGTAATTTGAGTTTTATAGAAACTCTTCTAAACACCTTATATTTATTAAAAAATAAAATAAAAACTCGTAATAAATAGGTAATTTGTATTACAGTTTTATACAAACTCTTTTAAAAACTCTTTTTATATCAATTAATTAAAAAAAATTTAAATACTAAAATTCTTATTAAAATACTAAAATATTGTTATTTAAATATTATAAAGAATTTTAAAATAAAATTATAAATCAATATAATCATATAATAAACTATATAAATATAAATAATCTATTAATAATCCAAGGATAGAATTTAATTATATATCCTTAAGACAGATTCGCTCTGCTATAGTACTGATGGACTTTGTGCCGTCTGTCTCCCAGGATACAATGACCTTTCTTTCTTCGGTGGCAGCACTTCAAACTGAAGAAATGGGCGAACCGACTCGGTGTAGTATTCTCTCTATGGACCAAACTCAAACCCAGACGCTAAAGCTATATGTACGTAGAGAAGAAAGGTAGAAAGAGAGAATTCAAAAATTTGTAAAGAAGATTTCGAATAGCACACTCTGGAAATGAACCAAGGGAGTATTTATAGGCAACTAGGTGCCTTTTAAGGTGACCCAAACTGTCACCTTCACCAGACACGATGGTTCAGTCCAAAATGTAAGCACTGGTTCGGACCAAATGCACATTTTCGTGATAACCACAAGAGTAAATCCAACCCAATTCAATAGTCTGTTAAACAACAAATTAATTAGATTTTACAATTAATCCTAAGCCTAGGAATTGGGAGGGGCGCACGTGTGTGATGAATGGTTTGGACCTAAGCTAGTTGTGCTCCCCTATTAAAAACTTGGGTGCCCTTCGAAAAGTAAATATATCACGTTCATCTCTTTGCGGACAAGAACACATTTGTCAATGGATCCGTAAGAATTTCTTAACAAAATCTACTCTAAATTTTAACCAAAGTTTCTATTTTGTATGTTTCATTTCCAACAGGTGGTGGTGGTGGTGAAAGACAATAGAGGTAGCAGTGGTGGCGGGAACAATGGCAGTGTGGTAGTGGGGATGATTTTTGGACTTGGAATGTGAATTTTTTTTGTAAAAAAAAAAAAAAAAATTACTTGTAAATTATTATAATTATAGTCAAGGACCTTGTGGTCTAGTAGTTTCTTGTTATAAGGGTCATTTGTCCCACATCGGATCTGGATGGGAAAGTGATTGTGTATAAATGAGTAGGTATGCAACACTATATAACAATTTGAGCTTTTGGATAAATGGGCAAGCGTCCACCCGTTACAGCTAGTATCAGAGCTAGACCTAGTTCTTGATCCGGTGCCACGCCAAGCATCTGACCCGAAAGGTGTTCGGGTGGGCCATCTCAGATAGGCAGGGTAGCTCGACCGCAATGAGGGTGTTGAGAGTTTGGGTAGGGGAGAATGTTACAAGGGGCTATTTGTCCCACATCGGATTCGGATGAAAAAGTGATTGTGTATAAATGAGTGGATATGCAGCACTACCTAATAACTTGAGTTTGGGATAAATGGGTAAGTGCTCACCCGTTAAATTTCTCTTCGACTTTCTGAAGTAAAAGTTTTCTTTTTCATTTCAATTATTGTCACTTTAATTTTCTTACCAACTCCAGTGGACTTCACATTTATGATGCAAATTAATACATTGATTTTGAGTACCACAACCATTACATTAATGTGGTATTTGGTGAAAGAAGAATATTTAGTAATTAGAATATAATTTTGGCTATTTTGCAACAATTATATTCCAGCGAAAAATAAGAAGAAAAAAACAGTCCTTAATTTTTGTATTAATAGGACTACAAAATTTAAGGCAGCCTTGTTGTACTAAAATACGGAGACAACCTTATTTTAGGAAAAAAAAAAAATTTCACTTGTTTGAGCTTTCCATAACTATTTTGATTATGACAATAAAAATGATGATGAAATTGAAATTGTCTGATGTATATAGATACATGAAGCCCATGAATACATGATTTTACTAAGACAACAATGGTTGTTATAAAATACTCCTAATATCATAAAATACTAAACATATAAATGTAAATCACTTCCGTGTAAAAAGAGAACTCATATCATCTAAAGCTAATTATGTGATTGTTAATTAACGTTAAATTTTACATTTTACCAAACGCAAAAAATAGGCTTCATCACGAGAGTATCCGGTGGTACACATTTTGTGTGGATAAAATTTCGTATTAAATTGATACGCAGATCGATCACTCCACCTTTCTAGTTAGATTCTTAATTATAAATATTAAACTATTTTTTTTTTTTTCTAATTTCAAGACACTAATATCATTCTAACATAACTTAATCTAAAAAAAAGAGAAGAAAAAAAAAAACTTTTTATATATTTGTGGCTAAGTAGGAATCCGTTTTCCTTTTTTTTTTTTTTGAAGTTGACAACTTGTTTGTCTTAGGTGTTTGGCAACTGAAGAAAACGTGAAAAAAGTACAAACACCAAATTCACCAATATACTCCATATTGATGGTTTTAAGATGACAGGGCTCTTTTCGTCCTTTCACATCCTCCTTGGTTTTCTCCTGTAATTCAACACAAAGTCAGGGGCAATTGTTTAATCCATCCTCTACAAATAGTATGCCCCATCTCCACCTCGCTCCCACTCCCTCCACACTTCCATTTTCTCTCCCCCTCCTCCTCATCTCTCTCCCCTCCCCCCTCTCTCTCCCTGTCTATTTACACACACACACACACACACACACACAATATATTTATATCTGGCTGCCTTTGATAATTGGTATCGACGACCTTTCACCACCGCTGAGAAATCAGATTTGGGTCTCTCTCTGATCTATACTTTCACCGGTTACTGCCTATCCCTATTTTCATTTTCATTTTTCATTATTTTTTAATTTGATTTTTTTCAAAATTTGATTGTTAAACAGCGGTTAAAATGACCGTTATGGGCTTTTAACCTTTTTCACTTTTCTGTTTTACCAGCCAAAAAAAGGAAAATGACCACCCTCAGGCGTTTCTGGTAAATTCCATTGTCCGGTGCTGACGTGGCAAAAAGACACGTGTCAATCGGTGATAATGTCGTCAAATAAGCGTAAAGAGAGAGAGGAGGCTTTCGAGTGTATGAAGCCAACAACAAAGCTAGCGAAGCCGACTTTCAGCCGAGCCGATTCGCCGACTGCTCCCGAAGCTGTGAATCGGGTGTCGAGCAATCAGCTTCTAGCAGGATATCTTGCCCATGAGTTCCTCACAAAGGGTACACTCTTTGGGCAACAATGGGACCCGGCTAGAGCCGAGGCTGTTCCGGTGTCGGCTGAGTTGAGGAGACTGAAGTCTATCCAGAAAGCGAAAGCTGAGCCGAGTTCAAAAGCCGAGGTGCAGATGGAAAAGTATGAGAGGTATGTTGAGGTAGCGGATCTATTCAAGACAGATGGAGCCCACTTACCCGGCGTTGTCAACCCGACCCAACTCGCCCGTTTGTTACAACTCTGATGTATTTGAAGGTCAGTCGACGAATTTCATTGGTCTATTCAAGACAGATGGAGCCCACTTACCCCGCGTTGTCAACCCGGCCCAACTTGCCCGTTTGATTCGAAGGTCAGCGTTGCCACGTGGAAGAATTTCATTGATCAGTCTTGGACCGTTTTTATTTATTTTACTTTTTTTAATTTAATGAGTAAAGTTTTTTTTTACTTGGAGAGACTTTAGTGATATGTATTTTGAGGTGCATTTAAAACGACTGAATTAGAGAGTATTTGGGGATTATGATTTTGTGGTGGGGAGGAAATTTTATATGTGGAATTTATAAGGAGTATAAATTTAAGATGAAGTAGATTGACGGAACAAATTCATGTTTGTAAATGTTTTTACAACTGTAAAAATAAGACTTTGTAGCACTTATATCCGTTTGGTTCGATATAAAATATTTTTTTTAAAAAATATTTTTTTTAAATTAATATTTTTTTATTTTTACTTTGTCAGAGTTTGGTAAAGGTTTAGGTCGAGATTGAAGTTGAATCCATCGGACGGGACAGAGAAAATAACTTGCCGAAAATTTATGAATAAATTATTTTTGTTAAATTTTAATATTTTTTTTTTTCGTAAATATTTTAATACAACCAAACACCAGAAAATAAAAAAATATTTTCTAAAAAATATTTTACGTCTAAATAAATGGAGCCTAAATTTGAACCTCATTTTCACTAAAAATTACTTTGTGATGTATTTTGTGCATGCATTGATATGCAATGGACGAAATCATTAATGTGATTGTTAAAGCTTAAAGTTTCTATTATTATTTTTTTTTTCAATTTTTATTCTAAAACGGTCAATTTAGAATTCCAAATGCAGCATAAATATCATTATTATTATTATTTTTTTGAAAGTTCAAACAAAAGCGCGCGCATTCATTAGATCATATTATCTAAACTATATAATTATATCTAGCCCTGCTCTTTTCGCTGGCTTTATAGGTAAGGATTATTTTTTAAGTAAAATATGATGGACAATTAATGTAATTTTTTACATTGCTTTGGAGTGGACGTTAAAAGCTCAACCTCTCTTGGTTATCTTTATTACCATTTTAATTTTTCGAACTCATATATACAACTTACAAAATATTATTCATTCAAATGTATGTGAAAAACTGAAAATATAATCTTCAGTATGTAACGGTTTAATGTGAAGTCCATCTAATATTGGTATATAGTTCGATTCTGAGAGAAGGTATTACACATTATATAGATATAGATATAGATATAGAGATAGAGATAGAGAGAGACAGTTCTAAGTGTGACACAAATTGTTTACTTCCGCAGAAGCTTCCTGGTGGTGTGTTATATACGCGGTATAAGTAGTGAGAGACAATTCAAGCGTGACAAATTGTTAAGCAGAAGCTTAAAAAAAATAGAAATTAAAAAAATCAGTGATTTATTTATTTATTTATTTTATACCAAATTTGAAGGTTTCTTGGACAAGAGTTATGGAATCTCGTTATTGTGACAAATTGACATCCATGACTAGAGAAAATTTAATAACTTTGCTAAATCAGATTGTGTTTCACAGAAGAAGTGATGGGCCCACCTATTGTGGTATTGTGGTAGGTTAGAAAACACATATATGGGATACGAATACAATATTATATGAGTAACTGCGAATCGACAAATCTACAAAAAGAGAGAAGGATACAGTCTCATACGACAGTAAAAAATTAATAAATTTTATTTTTATATATATAAAAAATTAATTTTTGGTCATTTTAAAAAATATAATAAATCTAAAATGCAATCATTAATATAACATAGAAATTGGGTTCAATATACATAAAACAAGTATCCGTAGTCAATACTTAATAAATTTTGAATTTTTCTTAACAATTATATTATGTTATTATTATACGTAGACAAAATACATAAGTAATATCGGATACATATTAATAATTAAAAAATATATTTTAAAATTATGGATACATTTAAAAAATATCGGACACATATATGCGAATATTTGTGGAGTATTTGTATCCGATATGTGTATGTTACTCTCCTAAAAATATCCATATTTTCTAAGTATGAGACCTACCACACTATGTGACACTCAATAAATCAGGTTGAGGAATATAATATGTATTAAGTCATAAGTCACATTATTATGAAACATCATATTTGAGCATTTTCAAACACAATTGAATTATTTTTGACAGTTTTTCAAATAATAAGTAATACTTAAATATGAAAAAAAAAAAAGGGTGCACAAATTGTTCCAAATACGGAGAATGGAGATGATAAAAATGGTCATATCTTAGTACATCTTTAGGGTAACAAAATATATGAGAAATGAATATATATTCTAAAAAGAAAAACATATATTTTTTTTCCCCGAAAGGGAAAAGGAAAAACACACATTGCGAACAAAAATATTTTAATTTTGGTTTTTTTAAATTTTTTGGTACTTAATTTGAATTATCTTAATTATTTTGAAGAAAATATAGAAGATTTATGTACAGTATTTGCTTGAGGCAGTCATACTTTTCAATTCAAAAATGATGCCTTACGAAGAGAGAACATTCTTTTTCCATGTACAACCATCACCTTGACCGGTCTAGAAACATTGAATGACTAATTTGGTTCCATCATTTAAAAATATATATCTTAAATGATTTAAAAGCATGTTAAATAATTTGGAAAATTACAAAACTACGTATTTTAATTTTTAACTCAATTTCAGAAATATAATTTAAAAGATGTCATTAAATTACAAAAATGATCTTATTTACTGATAAATAAAAAATTCATCCGCACTATTTTTAGTGACAGCTGAATGTGATTGTTATGTGTTTATTGGTAACTTTTTTTTATATCCATTGTCACCATTCATGGTGTGGTATGGTGTGAATGAATTTCTTAAATAACTATTAACGAATGATTATTACCCATTAAATAATTTTTTGAAACGACTTTTTATTTAATTTTTACTATTAGAATATAAAGAAGTGTGAAAAACATGTTAATATCAATTTTATTTTTCTTTCTTTATTGGCAATATAATAGAAGATTATGAACTTTTATCTAATATTTAGAGAAGATAATTATTGAATCCAATACTTCTATAGTAGGTTTCATCACATGATGTGACATTATATAAATGTGAGACTCACCACCTCACCCACTTAAATTAAATTTAATGTCTTTAAATCATTATTTTTGAAAATTAACATTTAATCCAAAATGGCTAATTAATGAATAAAACTAAAAAAAGAATTAGAAAATAATAATAAAAAAGAAGAACAGAGAAATATGTATTTTTCATAAAATGAAAAGGAGAAAAGAATAAAATAAAAGAAGTCACGGTCGTCTCTGCGCTTCCGGTACACAAAAAACACCAATTCTCTCTCTCTCTCTAGGGTTTCAACGCTGGCTCTATTCGTATAGGAGCTTGATCAATCTCATCTGAATCTCTCACTTGGATCTGAAGAATGGTGAGAGGATTGCTAAAAAAACTCACCTCTCAGTCTCTCTCCGTCGCCGGAAAATGGCAGCAACAGCAGCTCCGGCGTCTCAACATCCACGAATATCAGGTCACTCTTTCCTCATCATCTTCGCATTATATATACACACGCGTATGTGTGGGTTTTTGTATGTACATATCTGTATATATGTTGAAAAATCTCGTATTCTGCGTAATTTTGATTTTCAAAGGAAAATGAAAAGAACGATTTATCTCAAACAGAAAAATGGTTGTGTAATTTTAGTTAGTCGACCTTTTTTCAATTATTGAGTCCCAAAAAATTATTGTGAAATTACATACACTTTCGTTTTCATACATTTTCTAGGCAAACAAACGTATCATTAGGTAATGAACGACTGCCTCGTTACTTATTGTTGATCTCAAAACACACACACACACACACACTTTCATATATATATATATACACACACACACACATCGTTTGAAACTGTTGATTATATGTGCAATGATTGACAATTTTCAGTATTCTAAAACAGGGAGCAGAGTTGATGAGCAAACATGGAGTAAATGTTCCGAAAGGTGTAGCCGTTTCTTCCGTTGAGGAAGTGAGAAAGGCTATTCAGAATGTATTTCCAAATGAAAATGAGGTAGTGCTCACAGATTTTGGAATTCAGGGCAATAATATTTTTGTCTTAGTTTGAGGATATATTAGTGATCCATTTGGATGCTCACTTTAGAAAATTCGAGAATAGTATTGAATTTTGATGCCCATGTTATATGTTCTCTTACATTAACAGACGAAATCTATTTGAAAAGTTAAAACAAGCCCAAATGCCTTGTCAGACTCCTGAATTATGAATGATTTTAAGACTTAAAATTTAGATTATATGTGTATATATATATATATAATGTTATTTTGTTTTCTTTCGTACTCTTTTCTGAACAATGAACTAGAGTGAAGGTAAACGGAGAAGACTAACTTTCAGTCTGGTGCAGTTGGTGGTTAAGAGCCAAATTCTTGCTGGTGGACGAGGCTTGGGAACTTTCAAAAGTGGTCTCAAGGGTGGAGTTCACATTGTTAAGGCTGATCAGGTTGAAGACATAGCTGGTATTGAAGATTTTTCTCCTTGTCCACTTAAATATGATATGTTTTTGTTGATATCTTTATATCATCTCTATAACCTTTCTTATTATTTACAAGCGTATCTCCTACACATACTCTATGGAACTTATAGAGAATTGAATAGGGTTTATTCAATTACATTGTAGAGACCACTCACTTATAATGTTATATTGATATACCAACTCGGCGAATTGTTTGAGTAATCTTATGAAGGCACAAACTTTGTACACAGAGAATAATTTTATTTTCTCTATGACGTTCTATGGAAGTTTCAGAAACTTGATTAATGTGATAATGTGAATGCTCTATATAATTATTCAAGTACAGTTTAGATGTCAATGACTTGTGTGTGGCAACATTATGTTATTATATTATTGGATTGGTGAATCGTGTGAGTAACCTTGAGAAGCCACATATTGTACACGGAGAACCATTGACCTTTTCTTTTCCACAGTTGATTAGTTTGATAATGTGCCGCAGGGTGAGTAATCTTGTTACTTGAGTTTCCAGCTTGAGTAGATCGCAGCCTTAAGCAACAATTTAAAACTAATTAAATTAATTAATTAATTTTTATTTTATATTTCTTTTGTAGGGAAGATGCTTGGTGAAATACTTGTTACCAAACAAACTGGGCCCCAAGGAAAAATTGTCAGCAAGGTTTGGCACTATTTACTTATTCTATGTACAACTTATGTATAGGACTCATTGAAACATCCATCTTCATTTGAGGAGAGCATATCACGTGCTTTTAAACCAATTTTAATATTTGATTTATATTATAATTGTTGGATTATAATGTCATTTATGGGGTTTCTTTGAAGCCCAATGTCACAGTCACAATTAATTTCATGAGATCGAGAGAAACTCTACTGTCATATTCTCCCATTTTCCCTTCTATCTACCTCTTCTTTTTTTCCTCTTATCCTATCATACTGATTTACCCAAAACTACTTATTACTAGAGTGGAAAATTTATTGTGCTTGAAGCCTACTGATTATCATAATACATGCATTTGTTTGACGAGCTCATGGATGGAACCTTAGCTACATGCAAAGGGGCATGTTAATAGTGTAAAATAATTAAGTTGCATCCTCTCTAATAATAGTATAAGCTTTTAGAGGAGTTTTTGTTAACATGCTATTAGTGTTATATATTCAGAATTAAGAAAAATGATTAGGAGCACAAAATAGGGAGAAATGCTGTTCAGATGCCTACACCAGTGCTGCGTGGACAATGACACAAGTGTCCTTTGATGTTATCATACATTACAATTAGAATTTTCTTTCTGCCATTTCTCTTGGTGAAATTTTTTGGTTATTGAAGTCGTCTGAAGATTTTAGGTCTGTAATTTCAGCAAGTTAGGTTAGTGCCATAAATGACAACCCTGTTCTCCAGATTGCCACCATGAATCTAGATAGCAGTAACTACCTTGAGTGGTCACGATCAATACACTTGTTTGTTAAGAGTAGAAGATCATCAAGCTATTTAAAGGGGCTCTGAGAACTTTAGAATTATGCCTTGCCTTCTTCTTTCTATGCAATTGGAGATGAGTAAGGGGTACCACTTAAGACAGCAAAAAGTGATTTGGAATATTGCTTTTCCAACTTACTCAATGGTGGGGAATTCAGCTCAGGTCTTCAAGTGAAGTAGAAAATACATGAGACTGAGCAAGGAGACATGACCTTGGCGTACTTTTGCCTTTTTTGATTTCTTAGCGGGAGAAATCTTGAACATAACCAATTTGTGCTCTAAAACCCCTTCCATTCAAGGGAAGAGTAGAAGGAATCCCTGCTCCAAGATGTTACCCATGTTCTGTGTCTGCTTCTCAGAGAGTTGACAAAGGAGGGAGCAAGAGTTGTGAATTTGGTCAGTCAGGGATGCAGTTTCCGATGCGAAGGACAAACTTAAGCATGAATTTTGTGGTAAGACTAGACACACAAAACAAAGCTGTTCGAAACTCTATGGTTGGCCTACAAGAGGTAGATGTCATCGCACAGGTGATAGTTTCATAGCTTGTGCCCGTCGTACTTCGTCAATAGACAGATAAGGTACTCAGGTGCCTACTTCTACGATCAATTTTCAATTTTTCTGGAGAGGAGGTTGAGTTTTTCAGATGACTCGTGGCTACGATGGAGATCCCTTGATACCTCTAAGGCCATTTATTCAGTTACTCATGGAACTGCATGTTGTATACAGTTTACATTATTTAATCGCATTGGGATCATTGATTTGGGGGCTATAATTCTTGTTCATGTAGTGAGAAATTTAGGATTGTCATTAGGTCTTTGTTTTCTATGTATGGAAATGTCCCATTGTTTTTCTCCATCCTTGCCTTTTTCTTTTTTCTGTATTACGTGTTCCAAAATTTTCAACTAATCTTCTATATATTACCAGTACTGTCAAATCGATTTGTAGTTTTTTCATGGTTTTAAATCGTGTTATCAGTTATGTAACAGTCCTGATCGCGTGTACTAACATCGGGAGCATATGTCAAGGAGTAATGGTATTGATTGTAATCATATACAGTGATTTTCTATATCATTAGTCAATTATGTAAAATTAATGATACACGTTTTGATCCTAATTTGTTACAGTTTCTTAAGTTTTTTATTGTTCCTTGTCAATGTTATGACACCTGGAAAGATGCTTAACTTATTGTATCGGGTAGTTTTTTGTCAATGTTATCACTCCTCTGTTGACACTGATTGATACTGAATGATGGCTTTTTATTTTATTTTATTTTTATGTAAGCTTAAAAATCCAGCTAAAAGATATAACCTTCATCTCAATTCATGGGTGTCTCTCTCTATCTCTTTCTTGTTTTGTTTTGTTCTGTTTAGTACTTTATGGGTGTCTTTCTGAAAATGCTATATGTCGTAATTATAATAGAAAAATGGAACTAGGAGCAAAAGGCTAATGTCAAAGCACTATATCATGTTGACGCGGTCCTCCGTCGTCTTTTCCCTTCCCTGTTCAACTTACCAACTACGATCTCTCTCTCTCTCTCTCTCTCTCTCTCTCTCTCTATGTAAATGTATATATGTATCTGTAATTTTTTATTCAATTGAAACATACTATTACCCTTAAATGCAAAGAATCCACCACTGTTCAGTTCAAAGTTGGTTCTCTGGCCATAATTTTTGAAAAATCGCATCAGAGTTAATAACCCTTGTGTTCAGACTTTCACTTGTTGAGAATTTCCAATAGTGTATCATGCTGGATTATTAAAAAGAAGTGGCAATTCTTTTTAACAATTCAAGGCTTATACACACGCACACAATATATATATATATATAATATGCACTGGAAGTTAACAATTAACAAAGAAAGAAGACCACAATGTCCACAAAATTAAGACTATCCACTTTGTATATAATGCCAAATATTAGGTCTAATCTAACTCTCCTAGCACTTCATGCTGTCTGGACCAACTCTTGATAATAGATAGCCTCAGAAATGAATAGCAATCAAGGATTGTGAACATGATATTTAAATGGTTCCGTTGTTATGTCAAATACTATTTGAATACCCGTGACTGTTTTTGGGGCTTGTCCTATTAAAGAAAAGCAAAGCTATAAATTTCATCAACTGGTAGTTCTACAGTTTCAATTATATAGTGGATAGGGGTAGTGAATTTTGAACTAGTTTCTCTAGATCCTTCTAAAATGTTTGAGGCCACATAATGCAAGCAGCTTGAATCATATTAGTTACATGAACCATTTGTATTATATACATATGTGGATTGACACATACATTTGTAGTTAATGTCAATCCTGCGGATGCCATCTCTAAATTTAGATGGTATGTTCAGATGCAATTTACCATAGCAATGTTTCTGTGCTACCTGCTTATATATAACTGGATATATATTGGTCTCCTAGATTTGCTGGTGCTTCATGGTGATCAACTGATCTGTACATGGCTAGAATAGGCCACTCAGCGTACTTTACTTCATTTGTTAATTTTCCAGAAGGGAGATCTACTAGACTCTACAGATAGGATTCTAGAGTAGCCTAAATGGGAATAGAGTCTCACACGATTAGATGTGATACGGAAATTCCAGTTCTTGATGGTTACTTAACAAACTAGATTGTTAAGAAATACTTGTGTTTATATGTTCTCCTTTTTCTCTTTTACTATGCAAAAATGATAATAATGTAAATACGTTAAGAGCTATCATCAGTTTTTCTGTTAAAAACAATGACAACCTGTGATTCTTTGATATATATTTTTTTAATCCAGATTTTTTTATTCACTATTTATTTTAATTTTACTTTTGGTTGCCTTTGCGTAGCATTACTGATGTAAAATTTATTTTTGATTGAAGGTTTGCATTTTAGATAATAATTGTTACATATTTGGTTCTTGTCCCTCTTTTTATGCAGGTTTACTTGTGTGAAAAGCTGTCACTTGTCAATGAGATGTACTTTGCTATCACTCTTGATCGTGCTAGTGCTGGTCCTGTATGTTCTCAAACTGACTTTTACCATTACGAAGTATTACACTTGATTATGTAAAAAGTTAATCTTCTCACTCCCCCCCTCCCCCCGCGCGCGCGCGGGTCTTTCTCTCTCTCAATGTCTAGCCATTTTGGTTGATGCATCTCTCTTCAAGTTTGCCAAAAGCAGGGTTGGCTCGATAGAAATTGAGGCTCAAAGCAAGAACTTTAAGAAGTCTTTATTGCAGTTAATATATTAATATAAATAACATGGATTAAATTTTTACAAATTAACCAATACTGAATTTGAAAAAAGAAGGAAATAGTAACAGGTGAGAAGTCTGTTAGAAAAATAAGAAGAGATTCGGGAAAGGACTAGTTGAAGTAGAAGTCTTGGATTATTACATAGTTCTATTCAATTTAAGAATCAAAGAAAGTGCATGCTTTGAATTTAATGGAGGCCCAGATAAATGAATTAGAGAGACTGTATGTTAATTAACAAAGGAATTTACAGTGAAATTCACTGGGAGAAATCCTGTATGTTATATATATATTTTTTGATAAGTAAATCCTGTATGTTATATATAACAAAGGAAATCTACAATGAAATTCACTGGGAGAAATCCTGTATGTTATATAACAAAGGAAATCTACAATGAAATTCACTAGGAGAAATCTAATGAACCATATCTATATGGTGTCCGTCTTGAATCTAATCTTTTTCAAAGACTTTGCCCCTATGATCTATTGCGTTGCTGATAAAGTATATTTATGACGTATACGAGCTATATTTTTGGATTGATTTTAAGCAGATTGAATGTTCATCTCAAGATAAGCACGGGGTCTCTTTTTTTTTTTTTCTTTTCTTTTCTTCTTTTTTAATATTGTGGAGTAAGCAGTAAGCTGCCTTGGAACTTATAGAACTTTAATACATTAAAAGGTAGGATTGACTCAATTGAGATTGTTTAGTACCAGGACGGAATAGAGAAATGTGAGTGCAAGTGCAAAATGCTGGCGTGGTTTTGTTCCTAGAATCAAGAATTGGTAGTCTTCCTGATGCTAAAAGTATATAATTATTAGAAACAAGAAGAGACCATCAGTAATATTCTGCAGCCTTGAACCTTTTATTGTAGAATAGAATTGAGAAGTGCCCAAAACATTCACATTCAACTCAAAATGGGCATTGCTTGTCCCTTGAGATGATTTTGTCCCTCTAGGAGTATGGATCTTGATGTATTGATTGCAAGCGAAGGATTGTGGCCTTGCCACCTGTTATCCAATGACGAGCCTGCAGAGATTTTTGGAAATTCTCATGGCTTGTATAACTGGATTTTGTTCCAGTTTGATTTGGCCCAGTGAACCCAAAAGAAAAATCCGGCCACCAGGGCTGGATGCCGGATGCCTGTGGGAAGAATTTCTGTTGAGGCTGCATTACTTTGCTGTTGCTTGAAGTTTATATTAAACAAGGAATTGTATCTTTGAACTGCCCCAGTTCAAGTGGTTGAGATAAGGCTCTGCCTTTCAATTTGTCTTTCATGGTATTTGAAAATGTTTGATATCTTCTTTTGCCTAGTGGGAAAGAATTGGTTGTGAACAACACCCTGCATGTGGATCACTTTGTATTGCTTAGGCTCTTCAAATAGGTCCTACTCCTTTTTTCCTTTCAATGAAACAAATTTCAGTATTTATCATCAAAATTTGGCCACTAAAGTAGGTTTTATACAAAGTTTTAACTGGTTGGAATTCAGATTTGGAAAAGCATAGAGAGAGAAATTATCAGGCAATTTTTTTGGTAGATAATTATCAAGTAAATATTCTTGCCTAGTGTCTTTTTTTTTTCCCTCCCCCTTCTTTTGTTTGAGGGAGTGGCCAGGTTCTTTAGATTTACTAGTCAGAAGATTTTGCTTCAGTGTTGATGTTTTGCTGGACTTGTTGCAACTGCCTGTTCATGAGATAGGTTTTTTTAGACGGGATGGGAATTCAATTGGTTCTGATGCATTAGATTTGTTTACTGGTAAGAAAATTTGGCTGCAGTGTTAGTATTTTACTGGATTTGTTGCAACTGCCTGTTCATGAGATAGGTTTTCTATACGGAATGGAACCACAATCAATTGTCACTTGTCATTATTTATCACCTTATTTACTTTACCTGTGTTAATATATCTGATCCTTTTATCACATAATAATGCTTGTTCTAAGCCTTAGGTGCTTATTGCCATATTCTGTTCTCCAGCTTATAATTGCCTGTCGCAAGGGAGGAACTAGTATTGAAGACCTTGCAGAGAAATTCCCTGACATGATTATTAAGGTTATTTTTTGTGCTTTTTCTTTCAAATGCTAGTGTTGCTTTTGGCAATTTCTCGTGCTTTGCCTAATAAATTGGCATATTTTTTTGCCCAGGTACCTATCGATGTTTTCACAGGAATTACTGATGAAGATGCTGCCAAAGTTGTAGATGGTTTGGCTCCAAAAGTGGCTGACAGAAATGCCTCAATTGAACAAGTGAAGAAATTATATAAACTTTTCTGTGAATGTGATTGCACACAGTTGGAAGTAAGCATTAACTTCTATTTTCCAGGATCGCCACACTTGTTTGATAATTTACTAGATGATTTGTATCTAAGTTTTCTTTCTCCGCCAGTGTACATCTTTGTTTGAGCCTTTATTTGTTTGGACAGATCAATCCCATTGCAGAGACTTCCGATAACCAGTTGGTAGCTGCTGATGCAAAGCTGAACTTCGATGATAATGCTGCTTTCCGTCGGAAAGAGATATTTGCTCTCCGTGATCCATCGCAGGAGGATCCTCGTGAGGTATCTCTAGTCTTTTTGCATAGTGATTCATTTAACAACATTCATCCATAGATTCTGGTGTTATGCAAAAGTTGATAGTTTTTGGAGACGGTTGTTTTCATAGAATGATAGGATAAATTTTTATGAGACATTCTTACGATTTTACAAGAGCAGCAAAGAATTTGAACCAAATAACACCACCCCCCACCCCCGAGAGGGAAGCCCTTACAAACTCAAATGTGAAATTGTGACAGCTGTGAAAAGGATTTCAACACATTAATTATTATTATTTTTTTTGTTGCCTTTTAACTTTTGACAGGTTGCTGCCTCGAAGGCGGATTTGAATTATATCGGCTTGGATGGAGAAATTGGTTGCATGGTGAATGGTGCTGGATTAGCAATGGCTACAATGGATATAATTAAGTTGCATGGAGGAACTCCTGCCAATTTTCTAGACGTTGGTGGGAATGCTTCTGAGAACCAGGTAATGATTTGATTTTAGGGTATTATTTGTCACTTGCAGGATGTCATTGGCCCTCATAACCTTTTTAAATTTGTAATCAAGCATGCTTCCAGGCACATGCTTGCATGTCCTTTGTTTTATGTTGCACACTACTGATTTTGGACACAAATTTTCGTTTCCTGGTTTTCTTATTTGGCTTAATAAAGTAACATATTCAACTTTTTCCGACAATGAGTGGAGCAGGTTGTGGAGGCTTTTAAAATATTGACATCTGATGATAAGGTGAAAGCAATTTTGGTCAATATTTTTGGAGGAATAATGAAGTGTGATGTAATAGCTAGTGGAATTGTCAATGCTGCTAAGACGGTGAGTTACTCATCAGATTGATTCAAGCTGAATTCATTATAATTGCAATTTCTTCTCAGTGATTGCATCTTTTGGCACCCAGTTTTTCCTTTTAACCATTGAATTTGTTGCAGCTTTCTTGTTCTGCTTTTTACGAGTTTTGTCCTTTTCCCTTTGGATGGACCCATATTTTAAGAGCATATGGTATGCAATCAGAACGTTGGCGTAATCTGGTGGTAACGGAAATAAAATGATTTGACAATTTAGCATCTTTATAGAACTGAGGAAACAGAATAGCTGGTCATGTGAGGTTACTTGTAATTAGATTTGATTTATTGCTATCTTTGCCATGCAGATATTGTTAGGTCAATAGGACATACGTTAATTTTGTTTCAAAAACTTGAGTCCATTTTTATTAAACTTTTAGATGGTTTTTATAAGTTAGAACTCTCGTTGTGGTACTTAGGCCAATAGCAAATTTTAAAGTCAAGGCTATATTTAAGGGCAAAAGGTAAATTCAACATTAAATATGCTCCTACCATTGCGATCATGTTTTTTATGCATTCATTCTATCAGGTCTCGTACATTTCATGTTTTGATTCATAAAGATCCTTTTTGAAGCGTGTTAAGATGTTTTTGGAATTTTTCCTAAACAAAAATATTAATACAAGGATAGGATCAATTGATCCATCGAAGGCTACTGGTCATGTGCCAATCGATTGACACTTGGCTCAATCAATTATGACCTGCCAAATTCTGTTTCCAATTAGGAATGAATCTATTTTTAACTTTAGTCTCCGTAGGCTTCTAAACTCTATATAAAGACCACACATGTTAGAAAATCTAAGCAACCAACGCGAGCAATCTCTGAGCATACGTAGAGCATATTAGTGTGCATTCTAGCAATGCTTTGCTTGAGTTTGGCATTAGTTTGTGTCAAGAGGTAACTAGGGGTTTTTGAGTGTTTGGGAAACTGGTAACCTAGTTATAACGTCTCTCATAGTGACTTACCAAAGTAATAATATTAATAGTCTCTCTCATAGTGGATTGATCTGTTTGGATTAAGTCCTGTGGTTTTTCTTCTTGGGGTTTCCGCATGAAAATCTGTGTTCATCGTGTGATTGCTTAGTTTTCTTTACATATATCCGTATGCTTTTAAACATTATGAGTAATTGGATTACCATCCTAATTTCTTGTATTCAAATAATTGCATCGTTACTGACTCTCGACGTGGCTTGTGTGACAGGTTTCTTTAAAAGTACCAGTAGTTGTTCGTCTAGAAGGGACTAATGTTGATCAAGGAAAGAGGATTTTGAAGGTAAATTTGAAACCTGATCTCCATTCAAATCTTTACATAAACAAAAACTTTACCGTGTCTTGAAGGATTAATATTGTAATGAAGAAGACTGAAATGTTGAATGCTGCTATTTGGTACAAACAGGAAAGTGGTATGGCATTAATAACGGCAGAAGATCTGGATGATGCGGCTGAAAAGGCAGTTAAAGCAATTTCTGGTTGAGAAAATATCTTGTTCTCTCGAATGTTCTTATTTTGCTTTAGCCATTTTATACAAAATCTCGCGTACTCTGATTGGCCTTTTTTTTTTCTTTTCTGCAAAGAGCAGTGTAGTTCTGCGAATTTAAAATTGATGTGAAGCAACCAGCGATGAGAGCTGTTTTGTTGCCAAAACATTAATAAGGCTGGCTGTTATCCAGTGAGGAGAGTTTCTTTCTTCTTTCTCATGTGTACTTTTGTTTCTTTGGCTACATTGCCTTCGGAGAAGCCAAGGTATGATTGTCCTTTTCTCGGAAAAGTAATCATCAATACTGTCTTGGCTGATTTTGCAACCGTGAAATAGTACTATTTAGCTTATGTTTTCGAGCACCTGTACTTGTTTGGCAGAATTTGTAGCGAAAAAATAGTACTTTTTAGCTTATATTTTGAAGCACCTGACACCCCTATCCAGGGTTAAATCCTATAATTTTTCGCTCCGCTCCTGCTTTACCGACCCTAAATAAGGGTCATATCTTAGCGTTTTATTGAAAGATTTACATGTGATCCAGAAAGTAATGGTTAATTATGGGGTTGCTCTAAGAAGCCTGGCATGATCATAAGTTACATATAGGGTTGCCCTTAAAAGACTGACGATGTATAAACTAATAGATATGGAACAATTTTAGACCTATATTTGTAGGGTAGGGCTTGTTGGTATCTTAACTTGTTGGTCTTTGGCAATTTGTTATAAATAGATTACTTGGACATTTATAACAAAATATGTTAAAGAGTAATATTTCTTCTACCTGACCTGATGCTTGGTTTGTATGTTTCAATTAATCAAATGGCATGCTAGGCAGTAAAATTTCCAAGGATTCATCTAACGTCCACGTTATTTTGCAATAAAGTACAACGAAAGCACTGTTGTGATTGTGATGGTAGGTCCAATTAGTCAATGGGGGCATACTAGGGGATGGAAACCCAAAAAAGAGAGTTTAATTTATTTCTAATTTTTATATAAAGAGTTACGCCAAGATGATTTAAAAAATAAAGTTATATTATTATTGTAATGATTTTTATATTATACATACTAATATTCTATTAGTGTGTCATTACAATGTTATTGTTTTAAATTAACGAGGATCATTTCATGTCACTTGTGATTATATATATAATGTTAATTTTTCTTAAAAATATTTAACACTTCAAAATGTGTTGTGTTTTTGATTGCTTAGAATTGAAGCCGAATTTGAGAAAAATAGCTAAGAAAATTGGACAAATTTTTTTTTAATTTAAATTCCACCAATTATAATTTTAAGACTCCAATTTCATGCAACTGATAATCCCAAAATGATTTACACTTCACAAATAACAGAAAGTGCCAAATGTTTAGAAAGTGTAGGAAGTGTAAGCTAAGATTTTTAATTATAGACATATAAACACATGTCAAAGGAGTGTTCGTGTCAGTGACCAACATTGACACGGGCTTTTTTTAGAGAGAGACCCCACCTGAAATCACCATACACATTTTGCAATTTATAACACCTTGTTAATTTCAAGCAATATGAGAAAGCCTCCATTTATGGGTTTAATAAGGAAGAAAAAAAAAATAAAAGCAAAAACAGAAAATAGACGTAGTTTACGTCGCAAATTCTCTTGGGATAGGAAGAATTAAAAAGCCATCCTTTCCCCTAATAGTCTCGTATCCTTGTTTCCTTATAAACAAGCAAATATGATTCTGTTTCACTGTTTTTTCATTTCTCCACTTTAAATCCTTGAATAAAATGTGTCCTGCAGCATTCAAATAAAAGGAAAAATATAAGTGAGAGATCTCACCAAAACCATAATCTCGTATAACCAAGGGAAGTGATCATTTAATTCCGTTTGGAATATCTTTCAACCATTCCAAGAATTCTACCGGTTAATATATACTATGTCAACTAGTTACAGGATGGGGATGTACTAAACACAGCGTCTGAACGCAAACGAACCATACCAGCTTCTCTGGCTCGGAAGGGCAAAAGCTACTAGTGTTACAAGTGAACTCTTTATAAAACTTCACTTAAATCAGTTAATAAATACTTCGGCAATGGCAGGCAGCAACACAGGCACCTCTATGATACCACCCGTCTTCTCTAAGTGAGGCAGCCGAATGGAACAGACAAACTACAGGGAAAACTGGGCTTTCTACAACATACGAAGGATAACGGGGAAGGTTTGGCCATAAATCGTACCTTGCTCCTAGCACAAGGCAAGTTTACATGTTTCTCCCTGAACCCACCCATAAACCGGTTTGAGACAGGTGATTGGAGCAGGTTACCGGAATAAGTTAATCCGTTGCTATCCTTAATGATGTGGTTCCACTTTGAACAGTGCTTCCAACTCTCGCAGACAATTCTTGCTCCTTCACTGTGGAATTTCAATCTCTGAGAGTTATATTTCTCCCCGAACCCACCCATAAAACGATTTAAGGCATGTGATAGGGGCAGGTTATCGGAATAAGACAACCCATCGCTATCCTTAATCATGTGGTTCCACTTTGAACTGTGCTTCCAACTCTGGCAGTCAATTCCAGCTTCTTCACTGTGGAATTTCAATCTCTGAGAGACACCTCTTGTTTCTTGACCTATGACCTAAAAAGGGCAATAAATACCATTCTGCAGTGTGCATGTAAAATATTTTGGAGTTTTCAGCACTACATTATTGCAAATTTGCAATATTGTAATAACGGGATGTTTTCTTACAATAGAACAAATTTAAGAGAATGTAATAAGACAAGGAAATGCTAAACGAGAGGTGCACCAAGATCTTCATCTACCTTATCATCTTGGCATCTCTTGAGAAGATGAAGTTGTCCTCGCAAGTGCAAAACCTGCCATACCAATGCATGATGATGAGAAATCTACCATACGGAAACCAAAACAGAACTTAAGAGGTGACAATTTTAATGTACCATACACATACATAGTGATTTTTTAAAAATAAAAAATAAATTTATCCGACTAAAAAAAAAAAAAAAAAAAAATTAGAAGAATATGCGCATAAATATATGATCATATTTCATATATGTCGGATGATGATTAGATATCCACCATGGAAATCAAAGTAAACTTATCATGTATATCTATAAATATATGCATACATATATATATGCACACGTGGACACAAAAAGACATGGAGAGATATAAAGGAACCACCAATACATATAATTAGCTTCATAAATTAACTTTTTTGAACATCCAACTATAGCAAACAAACTCCCTATCAAGAATAAACTGAAATTAAGTATCTAAAACCAACACCACAATTTCAATATTAGAAGAAAGACTTCTATTTATCTTAAACACAAAGATGAATTTTAAAACAAAGAACGGCATAAACACTAACAAGAAAAGAATAATAGGTACATTAATCAAAAAGTACATCCACATATATGCATATTTCCAATTCATCAGCAAGATGCCTCAATCTATTTTTAGAGGTACCCATAACAAGATGTTAGGGAGGCATAAAAGCAGAATTTAAAGTACTCTACTAGAAGCTACCAATTTTATAAGAGAACATTAGAAATCAATGAAAAACAGTACCTCTTCTTGGAGCAGAGTAGGAAGGTTTTCAGATGCAACAAGACTACGTATTTCCTGCAAAAGCTTCTCCTCTTTGATACCCGACCATGTTTCTGGAGGCAAGGCTAATAGAAGTGCTGTAAGAATATCATTGCTAGCTGGATGCATGACAATGCAATTATCTGGGACAGAGCCAGAGCAACCCTTCATTTGAGATGAAGGGACCAGGACATCAACCCCTTGCTTACCATTACCATTCAGCACCATCCCGGACACTACTGTAATGGGCTTGTCGCCGTTAGCTTGAAAGCATGTCACACATGTTTCCCGACAGCAAAACCGATCTGATGAGCCTGACCTCCCTACAAAAAACCCTGCCCCCTGGCAACAAACACTTGCTGCTATTTCAGGCAAACTATCTTCATCACTTGAAGTTGGAATGAATCTGCAACATGATTTTTCTGAATTTAAAAAATATGTCACATGTTCATGTAGACCTGTCTCCTGCACTTGTTTCAATACCTCTTCCTGCAAAACAATAATTTGAATCTTTAAAAATTCAGCAGGAAACACAACTAACTGTAGATCAAATTTTTTGGTTCATCCAGGGCTCAAATTTTTTTTAAAAAAATAAAAATTACATAATGTTGTAAAACCTTAACAACAAGCCTTCCTTTCTCCTCTTGGCTTAAACTTTGATCACCATCCTCTTGTCTCCGAACTTCAGCAACCCACTTGATGAATTCCCCAAAATTTGAGGGGAGAGATTTTAGAACCATGGAGAGCACATCCTTAATATCTTTCACATCCTTAGACTTCAACAGAAGAGGGACATCATCCACCAAGTACTTTGCAATACTGATCCAACTCTCATGTTTACAGCTCTACAAACAATATTATAATAACATCCTTCATCGGTATAAGATATGTGAGCTAGCAAGATTGCAGATAACTCCAACCTTTTACACACAAGGGGGGAAATAATGCTTTTTGATGTATCAGATCATATTTTAATTTATAAGGCAGGTGAACGTGAAACAGAAAATTCATGCACATATACACCAGCACCCAAATATTTATTCTTATAAGAACAGTTAGCAGATTAAGAAAACAACTTTAATATAAAATTATCAATCTCCCATCCTACTGTTCACCAGTGCATCGAATTGTCCAGCTCAAATTGGAATAAAAGATGATCAATCCTGCAAAATGATTTTTTAACCCTTGGGCGGCACAACCTTAAAGGCCCTCAATAGGAGAAAAAGCCCCTGAAAAGTGGGTCCCATTATATCACTTATATTTCTTTTAATGTATTAATGTTGTTCCATTTATTGTATCAATTATCAAATCAATAATACTACTTTCCTATTGGTTAATACAAGTCGATTTAACCTTTTTTTTATTTTATATTACTTCCTTTCTCTCAACAATCTCACACCTTTTGAATTTCTTATAATTTTGGATTCTCTCACTTTTTTTTTTTTCCTTCACAGTTGATACTCACACACACATGCCTCCTTGGAGGCTTGAACCCTTGACCTTCCTTTGGGAAATAAGGGCTTGATACCGCTAGGCCATTGGCCCGTTGGTGATTCTCTCACATTACATCCATAATTGTTTTAACATTATATTTCTTTTGAGACTCTCTCATACATCAACAGCTTGCTTGATTAAAACACGATTTCTTTTCCTTGAGCTGAATGCAGGTTAGACAGAATTTTTTAAAAAACATATATTAGTTTTACATATATTTATACATTAAATATCACTTGGCAATTCCACCTTAGGCCATAAACTGTATCAAGCCGACCTCGACTAGATCCCGAACTAAAATACCAATACAATACAAGGGGGAAGGCAAAGTTGAAACTAAAAACACAAGGGTCGGTCAGTTTTCTTATATTTTTTTAACAAGGTCAAAGTTGACCAGCCTAACCAAAATAAATAAATAAATAAAATAAACAAGAGAAAGAAAAAGGTGTTGACCAGTTTTTTTCAAATGACAGGAGTTGATGATGTGTGTGTGTGTGTATTACTAATCCATCAAGTCAGAATTCTAAAACATAAAAAATGCCCTTCTGAGGTGGTGTAAGACCAAAATTAAAACCAAATGCAAGGAATGGGCAAATAAATTGCAATAGTGCATTGATGGTGAGAAGGCAAAGGTGTTAGTACATAAATTCCACAGCAATGCAGAGCCAACAAAAGTGATGATAATGTCAGTCACAGTACGTATCTATGAAAAATTGTCGTACAATAATGATTTCAATAGCTGCCAACCAATCCTTTTCTTTTTTATTTATTTATTTTTTTCCTTTCTTTTTTTCAGTTATCGCCCACAAAGGTCATAAATGGATCGTTAATCTCGCTCTAGAAAATAATCAGTTACGAAAAATCATTACGTTGACAATTTCAAAATTCAATATTAGTCCGTTGGCCAAAATAAATAAATAAGTAATCCAATACCAGTAAGTTCGGGCAGTGTAAGATCTCCAGACTATGCTTGAAAAATTATGACACGTATCAAATCATTAGAAGTTACCAATTCGCAATTAGATAAAAATTTCTGAACAATTTATCTGACGAACAAGAGTATCATTAGTAGGTCCTACCACAAGCACATCATAACCATGACAGATCAAATCATTAGAAGTTTCCTTGTAAATATTACACGCTTACCACCTGGATTAATTTATGACAGAAGTATTGTTCTACAATGGAAACAAATAAGAGGGAAATTAATGTGTGTGTGTTTATATATATATATAGGAAAAGGAATACAGGATTGATACAACCAATTATGTATTAGTAATGGAATGTATGCGTTTGTTTGCAGGCACAAAAAATTGACATTACAAAGGCACCCACTAGAATCATACCAGGGTATAAAGAAGTGATGGCGCTCTATGAAGCCTAGATACTAGCATGAACCTGGAAGATCAAACTTCTGATGTAAATAGAAACCCAACAATAAGATATGTAATAATATAAATAAATACATAAACTTAAATAATACGTAATTACCTGCAAGAAGAAGAAGAAAAAGTTAAAGTGAAAGAGAAAGGGAATAGCCAAAATGCAATTTCATAGCATGCAAAAACCAACTACCGAGTATAAGAAGTAGCATATACTGGATAGCATATGTATAACACAGAATAGAACAAGCACTGGTTTACAACCAGAGAACCATACACTTTCCAGGGTGCATTTTCTTGTTGCTTTTCATGAAAAAAAAGAAGAAGTAATAATAATAACTTAGGAGATTTAACAGCAAATTAGTGTTGCAACATCCAATAGACTTGATAAGTTGAGCTAACAAGCATGTTCTAGGATGCATTTCTATATGCAAAAAGCACCATCATGCGACACATATTAGGATCAATTGTCAATAGATCTTTGCTAATCAAACTTTTGATAGTTTCTACTTCTCAGTTCTCACATTTAAGTTTGACCAAATCTATAAATAGTTTTCTGTAATAATTTATAGTTTGCATAATCAACTACTTTTTCCATGAATATGTCTTCAGTTGTACTTGTCAATCCTGCTCAAACCTATATCACATGGACTCTTCCAAACAAGTGGAGTACCTGTGTGAAAACACAACACTTGGGTATGAGAATGGGACGTGTTCGATATGGCTGACCTTGGCTGCCTACCCGTGTCCTTGGGTTTAGGGATTTATAACACATAAAACACATATTCGAGTCCATGTTACATAAGTCCAACCATTTTGAACAAACATTGATTATGGAATGAAAACAAAGGGGGACGGGTAGTAGGAGGGGGAAGCAAAACCAACAAATAGATATACCGTTACCTACTCATCCATGGCAACCGAGAGAATCAGATATTTAAACAAAATCACAAGATGTAACATATGCAAATGCACAATACCTATGAAGTAACACCCCACATGCATAAACTGTTTCCAATAAAAATATTGAATAAAATAATTCCCTAGATGAAGCATAAAAAATTCCGTACCCCCTACTGAGTCCAGTTGCTTCGTCCAGAGTGTCCATGGCTTCCCAAAGGAGTGTTAGTGGAACCCAATGAGGAGGATACTTAAAACGTGCAACGTCCAGAATCAGTGCCATATCCTTTTCAGCATGGTAACCACCAATAGGTGAAAAGTGACCGGCTCCTGTCTGCAATAAATTCAAAAATATTCTTTCATCAACAACTAAAAACCCGAGAAAGGTTGTGACAATACAAACAACAATATATAAACCACAAGATGGCCCACAGAATGTATCCATTGTATTTGTTTCACAGGTCGAGGAAATATAGTGCATTTTATATTATTAAACAAAAACTCAAGACAAGTACTTTGTTGCTAATATATCTCCTTTCCTCCGACAATTTGTCTAAGACGAGACAAAACTTCAACTAAAAAATTAGCCTGGAACAGTTTTACTGAACAATAATGAATACGAGGAATAAAATTATCATAGAAAACCTCCAAAAGATTGGAAAACTACACTTCCTTGAAAAGTTCTTTTCATATCTTGGACATGATTCAACAATTTCTAAAAAGTCGTAGAAATGGCAGACCAGACCATCGCTCCTGTACCTACTTTTTTATGAATATAATAGTGAGAACATCCATAACGAACTAAAGAACGAAGTGGTCAACTTGATTTCATAGAAAAAAAGAAGGGACAATCCCAAAAAAGAATTAATCAAACCATAATTTATAAGCCAAAAAAACTTACTATAACACATGCCCAAAGCAATTTTAATTGACTAAAATTATGGTTTCCACCCAATTTTTCTATCAAACTGAACCATCCCCTTCTTGGCAGACTTGCCTGACTCTATACTACACAAACATGGCATAAAGACATTTAAGGTCCAATCATCAATAGAGCTGACATGGCTAATAACATCAGACCACCCAATTTATTGACCTTTCATTTGCTCTATTTCCATAAACAATGAATAAATATTCTAAAGGAAGCTACTAAATCAGAAAGGCAAAAATGCAGTTTGTCAAACTAACTTATGCATAATGTAACACAATATACTGCTTTGACACAATATCTAATAGGCTGGACCAAATACGTTGAGCATCAACAAACTGGTTCTGCAGTTTTGCACAGAAAATAATGTGTAGTAGTAGAAAGAAACAAAAATAAGCAAATGAATCGAGCTTAACAGTTACCTGTTTAAAAGTTCCTCTATGGTATGATGTGAGCACGTGGCAATCACTAGAAGTGGAACATTCCATTACATGCTTACGGAAATCATCAATAGTGCTCAGATTTGTCCGAAAAGCATCAACTTTTGCTCCAGCACAGCGAGCCAAGCATACCACCTTTCCAAATGAGATGCCCTTAGCTTTAACCTTTTCCAAGGGCTCGCAACAGTCCAGCATAGACTCGTCAAACCATCTCCAAGGCCCTGTAATCAAAGTGTAGTCAAACTATCTCCAAGCACAATGTACATGGATCAAATAACAAAAAGTCTAAATGTAGTTTTTATTGAGGAAGACACCCAAGAGAGAAAAACACAGAAATTCAAAATTTAGGATTTTGATGTAGAGTTCATCACATTCATATTGACTGAAACAAGTTTACTATTATCCACAATGAGCTATTATATTCCATAAAAACTAAACACCAATCTACTATGAAATAACTCTTTAGCAGTCCAGGAAAATTGAGTCAAATAAGTGACAAACACAGACAAAATGGTGCTCAGTACCATCATATAAGTAATTCTTAAAGCAACATCCTTGCACAAGCATAAAACACATCCACCATTTGACATAAAATTGATAATAAAAAAGTTAAATTTCTCAAACAGAAAACACCATTATACGACAATGGTGTACAGACAATAGAGCTAGGCATTTAGCCATTAATAACATTGTTCTTTGCATAAAATTGGAATCTTAAACCTATCATCATTTTCATTCCACCAGGAAAACACCTAAACTATAGCGAGCATGATCAAAAAACAAAAATCAGTGATTGGCCAACTTAACATACAGATAATATTTGGTTCTCAGCCAAAAATGCAAAGTTCTCGATTTTAATAAGTTTAGTCATAAAAATGTATGCATATATATGTATATCTCTCCTGCATGTACATATGAAGGCAAGATTAGATTAATAGTCCCTTGAGTTCAGTTTATACCAGGAACCCATCAAGAACACGGCATCATTAGCTCAGTCCTCCATTAATATAGGTAGAGTGGGGCAAGTCTCAGCCAGGCTAGCCAAAATCGTAGAGTGAATTATTTCAGCTCCATTTTTTCTTTCTTTTGAATCAAAATTATCAAGTAGAGCATTGATTTCAATTATTTCATTCATAGAAAACAAGTAATCCTATATAGTATCAACATAACCCCCAAAGTATATCAACAATCCACACAAAGCATCAATTCTTTTATGGCATGACTCAAAATGGCCTAAAAGTCACTTTAATTGTATCTCACACCCACATGGCAACCAAAAACATCATCCACCCAAATTTAGGGAGACAGGCTGAGTAGAAAAACAGGAAACCAAGGATCAGTGTGTAAAGTAGTTTGCCAAGCACCGAGAAGCCACAACTGCATTGGCCCACCCAAGTTAATTGATGTAACTTGACCAACAAAAAACAGCAGTCCATTTTAGGTTTAGCCTCAAAGTAATTGCTTCCCGTTGCAAGTTGGAACAGTGAAGAACATAAATAAACAAAATCTAATACTACCAAGAACTTAAGAATTACCTTTCCATTTTCTGCCTGGATCAATAGAGAGGGCATTCAAGACCATGGCAAGGCTGGCCAATCCACAATATGCAGGCTCTGATTGTGTCTGAAAGTATGAGATCAACTTGAAAAAACCTTCCATGGTTCCTTTTTGAACAGCTTCCAGGAAGAGTTGCTGCAGTTCCAAAATTTACAATAAGACTAACGGTTTATGAGAAAGAAACAATGATTAGAAGCACCATAACCTTTCCTTGATGAGAAGCTGTGTAACATCCTACCAAACAATATTAGTTGTCAAATGACACGTGTACTAGCTTATTTATGACATACGGGCCAAGGATTTGTTGAGTTCAGTTGTCAAATGACACATGAGAAGGATCTGTGTGTAAAGTAGTTTATTAAAACGGCAGCGTTGAAAAGCTCCATATTGTGAGTTTTACAAATGACCAACAAATTTACACATTTCTTTTACCCATAAAATGAATAAAAAGAATGGCCTTAAATAGGATTAAGCATCCTCTACTTGCATCTAGACACTTCTCACTCTTAAACGTACACCAGGCTCAATTTGCTAATGATAAAGATTAACTTGTGTAAACAAGTACATATATTACGTTGGATTTTTCATAGTACTGATCCCAGCAAAGCATTGAGTTCCCAGGGTCATGTAGTGGTTCTTTATTTTTTCAGTGCCATGGAGAATACTGGATTGAGATAAAAGCACTTCTTGAGAAAATAGAAAAAGTATTTTAAAAGATGATCAAGACAGGAAACAAATGTTGTGAAGACCTATCCACGTTGATCGACTCCTTGTGAAATCCCTGTTTCAGGCCAGTGATAACTAGGTATAGTATGTGGTACATGTCCAAAATATGCCGGTTGGACATGAATTGATCATCTGTATCTAGTAATTCAAATTTACCATATGATTGAAATTTTATTATGTTCTACATTACAATTACATAATACTATATGATGCACAAAGATATCATGAAATTCTAGGAAATAAAAGAGAAATATTTAACATATGTACAAGTTGTGTCACCATATCTTTGTGTTTGGATACTTTGTAAGCCCAACTTTTGGATGTAAGTTGTAACAAGAAGTGAAGAATTTTCAGTTAATTTTATTTATAACTGCCACAAATATAAATAAGTCCACTGCTGGAGCATCTGTATGACACAAGTTCACAGTTGAAATAAGGCATGTTGGAGCTTATAGCATCATCAAACCAGCAATAGAAACCACCAAAAAGTCATGGCAAATACTGGTAAAAAAAGTTCAGATCACTGATTGTCCCAATTTCACCACACTTACCCAAACACCATCCAAGACAATGCACTATGATGATCACATTACACCAAAAATCAACCACGAAACTTACATTAAAGCAGAAACATAGATAAAACAGGTGTATCACGTGAATTGAAACCCTAGCTTCCAAAATCTTTCACGGAATTGGAAACTTATGAGCGGATGAGAGAGAGAGGGACTGACCTTTCCTTCGGATGAAGCGAAATCGATGGCGGGAGGGGAAGGGAGGATTCGCCTGTACAAACCAGCCATCGCCATTTTTTTTGGAATCGCTTAACTATCAGATGATGAGGTGTGATGAGTTCTAGGGTTTTTCCGAGAGACTTTCCCGAATACGTGAAGAAAACGCCTCTTCTGCTTGGGACAGCGCGCGTAAATTTGAGGATTTCAACTTTGAAAAAAGGGAATGCCCTGCTCGCGAAAGCTGTCTTGTCAGGTAAAAGTAGTCTGTCCACCGACCGTCACAGGATTAACAGTCGTAATCGGGAATCATATCAGAAGAGCCGTTTTCAAACAGTAATCCATTGATCATTACGTGCGCTGTTTTAGTGATACTATTGGATTGGTTGGCGTGTTCTGGACAAAGAGACGAATTTCAATATTTGTCTCACTTTTTCTTTCTTTTTGTTCAAGTCTCTTCTATGTTTTTCAAATTTTTTTTTTTTTTTTTTTTTCTGGTTCCCCTTTTATTTATTTATAAATTAAATAAATGACAAAAGTAACCTTCAAGTATCCTAATTGTTTCCTCCTTTTTCTCTTGGTACACTTAATGCTATATTTGGTAGAAAGAAAGAGAACATAGTGGATAGAAAATAGGTAGAAAATGGAAATAAATAAATAATTTTTTTTTGTTCGGTAAAGATATACAAAAAAGAAAAGGAATAGAAGAAGGATGGGTCCTTTATAAATTTTTATCTGTCAAAAAATGGACAAAAGAAAGGAGGAAAAACAGGTGAACTATTATAGAAAATTTAAATTAAATACTATCTTAAATTATACAAGTTTTTGGATTTGTACTATATATTATTGGATATAATGGTCAAAATAATTAAAAAAATTTATTTCTTTCTCTCGATACAACATAATAAATTATGAGCTTATTGTTGTCTTCTATCCAACTGAACAAAAAGAAAAAAATACATAATCTCTAATCTAGGAATATCTTATCTATCCCTTTTTCTCTCCCTTCCATCTAATTTTTTTTCTTTCATATCGAACAAAGCATAAATAAAATTCACTCTCATTTCCATCTCTTTTCTTTCTATCTTTGTATGTTTCCTTCTCTTTTCTTTCTATCTTTTGCATGCTTCTTTTTTTACTCCAACTGAATCACAAATTACTCTGTTTCAATTTTCTTTTTTTGCATGCTTCTTTTTTTACTCCAACTAAATCAGGAACACTTACTATTTACAAAAAGCTATTTATCTTATTTGGTGTACAATGGTGAATGAGAATATCATAAATATGCATATACATAATTTTGGCAAACCATTGCTCACGTGCCTTTTACGGTCAAATTTTAGATGAAAGGAAAAATTACTAAAATTTAATAACATTGAGTGTGTAATTTTATCCAGAGAAGAAGCTATTAAAGTTGGAAAAATCTATACTTACCACACAAGAAAACAAAAGTTAAAAGGCTATTGGAGAAAGAATATAACCAGAGTGTAAAATGTTACACATTTTATGATTATAGCCTTTGAGATTCTATTAGGTTATGTCTTGTTTTCCTCTTCTTCATCGTTAATATTGTCTAAATAATTACGGATTCTTTTTCACCTCTATATGTTGCTCTGATTAATCTCTTTTTTTATTTAAGTTGATAGTATTGACAGTGATTTATGTTATAATATATTGAGGGCAATCTAAATACTAGTAGGAGATGAAAGATGGTAGGGAGAGAGGAGAGAAATGGGTGAAAAGGAAACAAAGGGTTATTTTTGTCATTTAATTTATAAAAATATTGAAGTGGAACGCCTTAGTATAATTTTAGAGCGCTAATATGAGCACCCTATTTAAATTATGACATTATTTGTCTGTTTTCAGGATCTTATAATAGTTTCTTTAGTATCAAAGAATTTTTCACAATTATCGTATTGTAGGGTATGTTTGGTTTAATTTTTAGAATATATTTTTTTGTTTTATGAGAAGAGAAAATGTGAAAATTGTATTAAAAATATATTGAACAGTGTTCAATCGAATTCCAATTAGTTTTAAAATAATTTTATATTTATTTCTATATTTTTGTCTAGTTACAAATTCTTGAGAGTATCAAATTCGAACAACCTGGTTTGTCTTGCTCTGAAAACCTCGGCAAATATATTTATAGTTTATATTTTTATGACAAATTTTTACTCTCAATTTTTATAATAAAAAAAATCTGTGTAAGGCCTGTATTAAAACTTAATGCCCCATTTTTTAAAAAATAAAATAAAATAAAATAAAATAATCCTATTAGGTTTCTCTAATGTATTTTTTATTATGCCTATAATTTTTGTTTATTGTATGATATACGTGCTCTTCAATTTATGTGGTCCATCGTAGAAGAATTGATACTTCTACAATTTTTTTTATTGCTAGATAAGTTACTCACCACACACTATTGCACCCATGGAACCTTTAATCATCAACCTTCCATTGGAAAAGGGAAGAGATGCCATTTGAATTAGTGAAATACTCTTTTCTTATTCTTAAGAGTTAACTTTTAAACATTCCATTCCTAAAAAAAATCTTAGAAAATCAATTATTATATCAATATATCAACAACTAAAATCATCATCACACAACTGCAATCCAACGTAAATGCCTCGATACTCCAGTGGTTAGTGCTTCCGGTGAATTTTGTGATTGTCAGCTTTCGATTCTTTGCACCTTCTAACCCTTCTTTGCTTTGTTAAAAAAAATAATAATAATAATAAATAAATAAATAAAAACTGCAATCCAACATCTGCAAACTCCTTAAACATCTTCCATATTCTATGAATGGAAATGCTAGCTGAAGTCCCCATTTCCTACTCAAGGCATCGGCCACAACGTTGGTCACCTCAAGTTCAAGTCCCTCTATGAGAAGAGGTACTCGAGGCTCTTGTGATCGGAGAAAATCTCAAACTTCTCCCCATACAAGTAATATCTCCACTCCTTCAATGCAAAGATCATTGCTGCGAGTTCTTTTTAAGAGAAATTGTTAGAACTGCCACGCAACCAAATGTGTAACCCTTGCGTTAGGCCTCACCTTATATCGTGGTTGGCAGTCGTGGTATCGATCGTGGTGTAACTAATTCGAACAAATATCGGTATAAACTGATTGAACCGGTCGGTTCATGAAGGTATATAACGATATCAAACTCTTAAAATGAGTTACGAATCACCCGATAGGGCGAATCATACCTTATATATATGTGAGCCTGCCGCCTAGTCTTACTGTTTTTACTACCCCCAAGGTGTGTAAGAGCCAACCTTCGAATTAGAATATATCAACTGAATTGTCTAGCCATTTGTGTGCAAAACCAGAAAGCATTAGTGAGTAATACTGAAGGTAAATGCAAAGACTAAACTTGGTGAGCTCAAATAGTTCAAAAATTTATAATGTGATTAGACAAGAGTTATTATTATTATTATTATTATTACTTTGTGTGGATGATAGACCTAGCTCTTAGATCACTTCATAATTCATCTCCGGACACATGTAGTCTCGTCCACATGCACCGTGCAAGTATCGAAAAAACTAGCTCGCACAATACATAATAACAAAATAAAATTCATTTAAACAATTCCAAATAAATTGAGCTAATATTTTGTTATATATTTTGTCAAGATCTCGTTCTTTTGTTGATGAGTCGAGTGTAATTTCACCACTGAACATCCCTAAAACATGCAGATCACAAGAATCACACAACTCACTCCATGATTTGGAAATGCCAATTAGGTCATTGCAGCTAGGCTGTGTCAAGAACTGGAATCAAATCCACACACACCAATCTACTTAAAATCCACAGATGTTAAGAAAATGAATGAATGTCTCTGTAATCCACACATGGTCCTCCTCCATTCATTCATATATATATATATACATGCCTGGAATGAATATATAGGGCTTCAGGGTCATAACCATCAGCACTAAAAGTCTAAAACCATTTCTTATATGAAAATGATATGCATTTCGAAAGTCGGATCAAGTCAATTATTTTGTATGAGTGGGGACTGACATTTATAACGTCAATCTCTACTCACATAAAATAAATCCGAGTTGTCTGACTGTCATGATGATATTAGTGGTTAAACTTTCATGATGTCAACCCCACTCATATAAAAGTAGTCGGAGTTATCCGATTGTCAGACTCCAAATCATTACTCTTTCTTTCCTATATGTATGCATGCCACTAAGTCAACAGAAACTGCAAAGAGAAATGTTTCTTCCATATAGTTCCATGTGTGTGTATATATATAATGGATGTATTATACAAGATTGCATGAAATAAAACTAAAGCATTTTTTTTGGGTTCTTTTTAGGATATCCCATAGCGTCCTTTCTCATCCTCCTGTACAAGAGGTTTCAAATTCTGAGGTTGACATAGCTCTCCTCCTGTCCCTCCTGCTCCAGGATCCGAAAATGGAGATGTATATGTACTACTAGAAGCTGCAGCTGCTTTTGATCTAGATGTTCTTATTGAGCCACTGCTGGATTCCTTAGCCTTCTTTCGCCGCGTTGACTTCTTAGGGATGTCTGGCAGCAGGGTCCGGGGTGACCCTGGTTCGGAGCCAGGGTCCTGGACCCCTACCCCACTTGGTTTACTACTCTCATTCGACTCCTTTGAGTTGCTTTTAGAGTGGCGTCGCAGCCTGCTGGACGACTTTTGTTTGGTGGATGGCTCGCGGGATGGGGAGTCTGCTGCTAAATAGCCATCTGTTGAGTGGCGCCGCGATGATATTGGTAAATCTGGCGAGTCTATGACCGGTGAATTTTGAGGTCTCATACTTCTCCGGCTTGAATCTACCAAAAAAAAGACAGTAGGGTTCAAAAATAGTGTTTAAATAGAGTTTAGAGTTGGTAATAGTGTCCAATGCATCAAGTTTTGCCATATGCATTCTCATATTTTGATAATATCATTTAGATGAGTATCAAAGATCTATAATGCGAGTGGTCAAAGGGTCGAGTGGTTAAAGGGTCTAAAGGAGCTAGTAGTAAACTCGGACATCTTGAGTTCAACTTTCACAAAGCACAAAAACACTCAGGTTTAAGTGATATGTGTGATTTACGGATTATTTATATTCTAAATTTACCTTACAGCTATAAGTCCAAAGAACCGGTGGTTGGAAGGGTTTCTATTTTCATATATATATAATGCGTTATATGATTACACAAATATGCAAATTGAGGGGTATAAACTGATGCAATTAGGCATTCAATTTTCTTGAGAAATGCTTGGTGCTAGTAAATAATTTATAATGTGAACCTACACCGGTGATCTAGTGGTTAAAGGAATTAAATGGGCTAGCCTTACACTCGGCCGTTCTAAGTTTGACTTTCTCAATGCACGAAAACACTCGAGTTTAAATGGTATGTGTGATTTGCGAATTACACATATTCCAATTTATCTTACAGTCATAAGTCCAAAGGGTCGGTGGTTAAAAGGATTCTGATGTATAACTGATACCATTAGGCATTCAATTTTCTTGAGAAATGCTTGGTACTACAAATGATTAATGAAAGCTAAGAAAGTCTTCACAATTTTTGTGCTAAGAAACATTTTTGAGGGGGGTAAATTTTTATTTTTTATTTTTTTTTTATGTACTAATTTGAAGCAAGAACATGTTACCCTTAAACATGTCATAAAATGCATCACAACACCGGTTTCAGGTGTTTTTGTTTTCCATGATTTTGGAAGCAATGCGAGAAAATGAGAAGCACCAAACCTCCAGAAACCCATTTGACTTCAGGATTCTCCTTCGATTCTGAATTGATATTTAACGGTGCTGATTGAGACGATCCCGGAAACTCCTTCATCTGCACAAATTAAAATTTCACTAACATAAGGCTTGTGTTTCTGATTCAAATGCAAGAAATTGAATACATTGGTACATTTACAAAGTATTTTGGGAGGCACAATGAAACCTAATAGTGGAAACCTAAGCTCATTGAACATCAAAGCAAGAAAATGTTCAATATGATCAAAATCAATTTCCAAAAAAATAAAAATAGTAATAATTAAATAATTAAGATTACCCAGCTTGGTGAATCTACAGATGGCCCATCCCATCCTATATGAGCAACATGCTTTACATCAGTTGGATACCCAATCTGCATTTCTGGTTCTTTTTCATTTTCTGCAGCAAAATTACCAAATCTCTTAGAACATATGTTTCAAGAAAATCGAATTCACGAATTAATTTTTTTTTTTGGGAGTTAAAGCAAACACACACACAATACGTCTCTAGTGGGGCTGGAACTTTCAATCTCTTTTGAGAAGGAGAGAGATGATACCATCTAGACTAGAGGCCGACTAATTGAGAATGGAATTCACAATTCCTTCATATTGTACCATAAAACAAGGGAATGTATATATATATATATATATATATATATATATATATATATATATAGGAGAGAATTACATACCAAATATTTGAGAAATGTATCTTAGGCCTTTTATAAGGCCCTTCATCTTTGTGCCCATTCTTGTCTAATAATGTATATGTATATTGAATTATTGATTCTATGAGCTATAGATCTATCCTTAGTAGCCTTTGGCTAGCAAAAAAATGCTGGCTTTTGACCTTCAGATCTGAAACAAAGAAAACAAAACGAGAATCAAACAGTTTCTATATGAATTAAAAAAAAAAATGAAACCATTTTTGTTTTAAAGTGAGCTTGAAAAAAAATCAAACCTTTTGAAGACAACTCAATGCAACACCATGAAATTAGTGGTTCATGCAACATCATATGTGTGTGTATATATATCTATTTGGCTTAATGTGTCCCAACTTTGAGTTCTCTGAGAATCTGAAGGTGAAAAGAAAAATCAAAGGGAAATGGAGAAATGGTATATAAATCTGTTTGGTTTTTAGTTTGACTTTTCTATTGGCTGATGATGAGAGAAGAAAACAAAAAGCAAATGCTGTTTAAAGCAAACATTTCGTTGATTTGATGGCAATGCATGGTTTATTGTTAATACCTATTAACCAAAACCATAAGTGGATCGAAAATTCAGGTGTGAGAATATATTTAGTACTTTAAACATATAAAAAATGCTATTTTTAGGGTGGTCATAACGAGTCTTCCTCAAATTCAGCTGTTCATTGAGAAAAAGAGGAAAATCTAGAAAAGGTACTGAAGGAAAAGCCCTAGAAGTGGCTCAAAAACTTGATTCTCTGAATGGAGAGGCTGCCAATCTAACATTCAGACGAAGTTGATAAATTTTGTTATCCTCAGGTGGTGGTATCTCTTTTTTCTTCTTTATTTTCTCTATTAGTCTCGTAATATTGACATGATGTTTGAGAGTTAAGATCCAAAGTCACCAAAATATATAGATTATCCTCGAGTGATTTTTTTTTTCTTTACCAGTCTTGAAATTCTGACATGAGGCTTGAGAGTGAAAACCCAAAGCCACCAAACCCGAAGTATACCGGTTATTCTCGGGTGATTTTGTTGCTTCTATCTTGAGATCATCATTGGTCAAGGCCAGTGAAATTGAACTTAGTTGTGAACATTTGGAAGGTCAATTGCTTGTTTTGATGATATCTTGAGTTTGTGATATGTACAAAGGCACAGAAAATCCCAAAAAAATGAAGCCACAAAAAGTCCCTTCATCATGTTCATCGTTATCATTTTTACCTTTATCCTGTACAAAGAATGGTTGCCCTGAAGTACGTTCTCTCTCTCTCAAATAGACCCACCGAATTTCTCCCTAATCCTTTAATTATTAATCTTTTATAATTATTCCTAACATCCATCTTTAACACGAACATGAATGCATTGTTCGTGTTTCTTTTTTAACGCCCAACATTCCGCTCTATATAAAATAGCCGTCTAGTGATCCCGGATCAAGTTTGTGGATGTTAGAATGCCATCACCCAAAGTTCAACCTGCCAATGTAAGGTGTTTGGGATTGATGAATTTGGATTGCCCGCCTTGGTTAATCTCAGGAGATTCAGGAAGCAGTATCAACCTGAAAAATAGATTTTGCTTTTGACTTCTAGAGATGACATGAAAGCTGTTATAACACACAGGTAAAAATGCTGACATTATTATACCAAAGGTGCAATCAGAACCTTACATCGCAAAACCACTTAAAATTCATATCAAGCCATTAAAATTATTTGACAGTTTGAACGAAATGGAGAACCGAAGACTCAGTCTTTGGCTCCATTTTTCGTTCAAACTCTTTGGCGCTAATAGCATTACTCTAGGATTATATATCATGCCCTAACCAACAACAACAGTAGCACTTCTCGTGAATTCAATTTGGGTTCATAAATATTTCAAGACACTATTCATTCGTAAATCATTAGACTACACCATTATTATTTCTTAACATATCGCCGCATGTAGACCAGTCCTCTATGTTGTTACAGTATGCCATGTAACAGTGCTCTTTTCAGTTCCTGTTTTAGCTACACAATGATATATGTGGTTCCGATTATATCAAGTCAAGAAATACAGTTCAAAGGGAATAAAACACACACACACACACACACAATATTATGTCTTCAGTAGCCCATTACGAAGCTTTCAGATCGTCCATTCCAACACTAGCCTGCAAAACAAAAGCACATATTTTAAATAATTATCGAACACTATTCTTCATGAAATCAAATAACTGAACAACATGCCCAACATACAGTGATCATACACTACATTCAAAATTCAACCAAAACTAGAAAGTGTAAACTATATGACATAGACTTCCTATGCGTGAGAGATCTTACCAAGAACTTGTGATTCTCTTCAAGAAGCGGAGAGAAGGTTGAGCAGAAATTTTCAATATCAAGGTTAATGTCACCTGTGCCCTTTATGACTTCCATGAACTTCTCTCTATTGGGAGCAAGCTTCATGGCAAACTGTAATATAAATTCAGCATAAATGAAGGCGCAGATGAAAGAAAAAAAAACACACACACACACAAGAACTTACAACCTCTATTTAACAGAAAATTAGTTACAAGGGGTCTTCATGCTAAATGCTAAATTTTCGAGCATTGAGGCTTCTTTTTTATGTCAACATAGTTTAATGAAAAATCTAAACCATTCACCAGGATGCTAGTTGGGTTGATGACAAGGTAAAAGGCATGTGAGGAAAGGTTCTTTAATGATGAGAAAAAAGCATAGAACCAGAAAACAACTGAGAGAGGAGAGTTGAGAAGATATAATACCGATTGCAGTAATTTGAGTTCAAATAGGTAAAAAACAGTTTCAAATATAAATCCTCAGCTATGTAACAAAGCCATTTCTAAATTCTGTCTTTTATCTTGCCGTGTTTAACATCAACGCCCATTCTAGGAAAACTAGATTTGTCAAACAAAAGGAAATCCCCAAAGTTGTTTCCTCCTAGGTTTATAAGAACTTGCCATTGTTGTGGGAAAGGATCGCATAAAATAATAAAAAAGAAAACGAGATCCCTGAAGTTGTCTCCTCCAAGGTTTATTAGAAATTGCCATCGTTGTGGGAAGAAAAATCGCATTAAGTCTCATCATGTGTGGATGGTAGAGATCTCATTGAAAAAAGAACTATCAGCCATTTTAGGAAAGAAGAGGTCCTACAACATAAGACTAGAGAATTATAACCTGAGACCAAGCAGTCTGTTAGAGTACTCGTGATGATCAATAGTTTGGCACTAGTAATTATTTGAATATGTGGGGGCATTAATAAAGGTTAATACAGAAAGGAAAAGTTAAACCACATATCTATAATCTATATGTACCCCATCTCCTGCTGTAACTTGCAAGTTATTACGGGTTAAAGATCCAACAATAAATAGAAGCTGTCCAAGTTTCTACATGGACAAAAATTACAATGATCGAATAATTTTGGCTCGTGCAGATTTGGTGACTGCGGATTCATGCTTCGAGTATGAGACTAAATAGGAAGACACAATACAACATTACACGTATGGAAAGTTCAACATAAAAGAGTATGATGGTGTGTTTCTCCACAATGACTAAAGAAGCAGGATCACAAACAGTGTGTTCTCCACATATCAATATATCATCAGCTACTAAATTATATTGCGGGTATAAATGTTTACCGAAAAACTTGAACTGGCAAGCCAGCCATGCCATTTCTTTAGTGTCTTGCTGTAGGAATCAGTGCAAGCTTGTGACATTGTCCAGTCTGCATGGTCCAATAAGTTGCGGAACAATGCTACCAAGAAATCCATAGCCCTGAAGAAGTAATCCACGAAATATCTTAAGACTTAAGTTGATGAAGGCAATCTCAATTCTGACAAAGAAAATAAACTCATGCATGAACTCAACAAAGCCACAGGGAGAGTGGAATAAACATATAACAGAAAAATCAACACATGCAAAACAGTAGACATAAAATACATGCTGTAAATTCTTGCTCACCTTGTTAACCAAAGAAGACCATTGGTGCAACTGGATGAAGCTTTTGCTGTCTTAGCTTCAACCTCTGCACGCACCATACTATACAGGTGATTGAATTCTGATGGGTTGGACAAATACTTGTTCTCCAATCTCTAGAAGTATATAAATGTGCACATATCAATCACTTCAAATATATATATAAATATATATATATATATATATATATATATATATACATATTTAACAAGTATCAATCACTTCAAATATTTACTGAAAGCCAACATAAAAATGCAATATTAACAAACCCTAAAATGAAAGGAGGTCTTAGTAGTTAGTATCGACCAGAAATTTTCTTCAATGATCCAGTTAGACAAATATTTAAATTTGCAAGTTGGTTTGAATTCAGTTTTGTGGGTCGAAAGAAACCCATCTATGATTTTGTCATGGACAAAATTCTGTTAGGAACCTATGTTTTCAAGGGGTCTTGGTGAATCTGAGCAGGACAATGTTTTCAAGTGATCTTGGTGAATCTGAGCAGGATAGACCATTTCCCAGCTCCAACAAAAAAAAAGAAAGAAAAACAATTAAAAGGACAGAGTAACGAGGAAGAAAACCGGTCCTAGCAGACAATATTTGACTTTCTATTCAAAGCCAAGATATCTTAATCAAGTCATTCTTATATACTTAAAGCAATGAACGGTGTACGTAATTTCATAACAAACTAAGTTCACATTCTCAGGAAATCAAATATATTACTACAGAGATGTTTGAAACACATGGAAAAAAGAATGTCTTACCGTTATATTACCGCCAATGTCAGATTTTACAAGTGCCATGGCAGCTCCAAATTTGTCTGATATCATATATAAAATTAAAAGAGCTGATTTACTACCAACTTCGGGACAATTTTTTTACTTTAAATCAAAGAACAGAAAGAAAAGATGACCAATAATACATATTTTCAATGACAGTCATTGAAAACATAACACAATTGAACTTGAAAAAATAATGTCAAGACCTGAATAAGAAACTTTGGGACAAGCAGACAAAATAAATAAAAAAGACAAATCTCTTTCTCCAAAGTTGCAACAAGGAAACTTCAGAAACACTAGCTACATGCAAACAAAGGCAAAAGACCCAACCAGTGGCCATTATCCCAGCTGGTATAACTTCTCCTCCCACAAAGGGGAGGTGAGGGGTTTGAGTCCCATAGTGGGCATTTGTTGAGGTGTGAGAGAGTATTTGCCTAACCAAGAAAAAAAAAAGAAAAAAGACCCAAGGCAACTTCTGAAACACTATACGCAAACAAAGACACAAAACCCACCCACATAATTCAGGAAAAAAAAAAAAAAAAAGACCCACCCACATACAACATAAACATTATAAGCATATACAAGATTCAAAATTAGCCGTGACATAATAACGACCAACAGCCCTTGTTAGAAAGAACTGATTTTCAGAATTGAATCATAAAGTGCAGTTCAGAGTAAGAAATGATATTAAAACTGATTAGAAATTATATTAACATTGATTAAAGCATAAACTGGATTGTGCAATCAGGCAGAATTTGGCAATCTCTGCATAACTCTACCCCTCTTTCATGTCAGATTCAAGCACCAAAAGGCCACAATAGAGGGATTACAATTAAAGAAATGGGGTGTCAAACATTAAGTGAAAGTTCACACATACTGGATGTGGACAGGGGGATAAAAGTATTCAAAGCTATGTCCATAAGGAAGAATAAAATTCTGCTTGGAGCACCTCGAGACCTGGTCAAAGGTCAAAAGAATTTCATTTAAGCAAATGAAAAGGTAAATGCTGGACATAAGCTCAACAGAGAACACGAACTTAAGTATGTGCAAAACACTGTAAGAAGATTTGCAAAGCAGAAATATGGGCAATTGGGATGATTCCAAGTGTCTACATATTACTGATATTCTCATGAGAGTAACGTATATCCAGAATTGAAATAAAAAAGTCCAAATTTTTTGTTTCTTTCCATTTGTCAAGGATCAAACTTTCCATCTCAATCAATCTTGAATGCTTAATTAGATTTGAAAAGAGTTGAAAGGAATTGATGTTTAAAACCAATTATCATAAGCATGGTTAAATGATATATTGGCATATTTATTATCTTTGGTCAACCGACTTTTTTGCCGATAATACTTATAAGTATGTGTGACCTCAGACGTGCTGAAATTAACATATAACAGTCTGTACTCAGTTGCACTAAAGACTTGAGACAGACCTAGCTTTTGCCTTTATTTTACACAAAGTGGCTGCTCTAAAACTCCAAGTCCTTGTCTTCAACACCTCACGTAGGTGTGATCAATATTGTGTACTGCCCTTAAAAAAAAATGTATTTAGAATATTTAACCATAACATAATTGATGTATCAAGCAACATCAGATAAATTTCACCCAATATACCATATATAAATTAATTTAAGAGTAGCCAATGCACTTCCTGGCACCAATATCTACAAATATGCTTATAAGAATATAATCTCATTTAATTAAACTGTCTCTTGCACTATTTTTTGGGTAGGGCATTAATTAAGTTGACATCAGTTGCAACTTGCCAGATCAGACTAATAAAATTAACTTAGAATCAGGATTGTGACCCCCTCATTGAGATTATAAACTTGGTGAACCAAACTAATAGTAGTGGATATTTATGGAACACTATGACAAGGCAGGAAAAATGTCAATCACCTATAAAGATCATAACTCATGCCTCACAATTCATATATAATAGTATCATAAAACTTAACAACCCAAGACGACTTGTAGAAACTACTAATCATAATGTCATATTGTCGAAACTAAAAAATACACACACACACACATATTTATAATTTGAAGGAAGCATTAATGAGAAACCGTACAAAGAAAAAGATTAAAAAAAAAATAATAATAATAAAAAAAAAAAATGTAAACACAATGAAAGAGCTATGAAGCAAAGTGGAACTGTAATTTATATGTAAAAGATGGGGATGCCTAAAACTAATTCATTCCCCAGATTAAAAGTCAATATTTCATACCTATAACAGGTAATATCTGCTTACAGACATCCAAGAAAGGCTTGGCAAGCATTTCTCCTTCTTCAGATTTGACGTGCTTCATTCCTTCCAAAGCAGGAGTGAACACTGTCCCTTCCATTCTTACTCTTTGCTGCATTAAAATTTGATATGATACCAAATATTAAAAATGGATAGATATGTGCAAAAAAACCAAATGCACAAAAAGTTTGTTTGCACATTGTTTAATCATTCAGTATTGAATATCAACTATTGTAGAAATTAAACAGCTTATGGTGATATTTAATGATTAGTGACGCATAAATGAAAATTTGACAATAACAAGATAATGGATGGCACCATATTGAGTATGGTCAATCGGTAATGTAATCATCACTGAAATTTTCATGTTTATCTTGACAAACAGTTGACTGCAGCTCCATAATAGAAAAAGAATCCCATGTCCCAGCATATATATCATACACAGTGACATATCACAGTATAATAAATGATTACATCAACACAAAGTCCATTGTCAGGGAATTATAGAATCAATAAATGATAATCGCATAAACTACTACACAATATTATTCCAATAAAAACACTCCCATAGCTACATGAGCATGACAATAGATTCTATAATGATCAGCAATGAAAGAAAGTAAAACGCACAGCACAATTAAACACTGAAGAGGTGGATATTATGCAGGTGAAAACACCTAATATGGAAACAGGGTATTATAGAACACAATCTCAAATGTGTTGGACTATTGAAAATTGTTTATCATTATATAACTAAGCACCCTGTTCATGCTTACTGTACTAATGCACATCACAACTCTGCTACACTTTGATCGGCAAGAATTAGATATCACACTGCTTAATAATCTTCTGAGTGGTTGTGTGGAAATGTAGGAGAAGAAAAAGAAAATATATCTTGAGTCTCGTAATTCACATTATCTGATCCTTTTATCTCAGTCTAAAATAAGTACCGAATTCAGTTAAGTTGATTTTTTTTTTTTTTTTTTTTTTTTTAAATTTCAGTGAAACCAAAACAAAAGATTTCCCAAAACTTTTTTTTTTTTTTTTCATTATTTTTTTCCCTGTTTTCGATTTTCGCGGAAGACAAACAAAAAAGGAAGTGAAGTGGAATAGTGTATCAGTACTGCAATTTTTTTTTGATAAGTAGTACAACAATTGTTCACATAGTATCAACCTAATCACAGAATTCAACAAAATGCTTAACTATAATAATTCGGAAGCTAAATCCAAGCAAAATCGCATAACTAATTAAATTACACTAAAACTACCGCGAGATCTATGTATTGATCTGTAGAAGATCAATTTCCAAAAACTAGCACCCTATGCTTGTTTAGTGTAACAATGCACATCACGACTCTGCTACACTTTGATCCACAAGAGTTACAGATGACACTGCTTAATAATCTTCCTTGTGGTTGTGTGGAATGTAGGAGAAGCAAAAGAAAATAATATATCTTGAGTCTCAAAATTACAATTATCTTGAACCTTTTAACTCGATCTAAAACAAGTAGTCAAGTACCCAATTCGTTGAATTTTTTTTCAATTTCAGTAAACCAAGAGAGGAATAAGAAAAGAATCGCCAAAACCTTTTCTTTTTCTTCTTCGATTTTCTTGGAAGACAAACAGAATAATTCACATTATTTGGATCATTTTAACTCATTCTAAAACAAGTACTGAACTCAGTTGAGTAGAATTTTTTAAACCAAAAGATGATTAACAAAAGAATCGCCGAAACCTTTTATTTTTCTTCTTTTTTTTCGTCTTCGATTTTCTTGGAAGACAAACAGAAAAGGAAGTGAAGCAGAACGGTGGATCACTACTACAATTGTTCACACAGTATTAATCTAATTGCAAAATTAAACTAAATGCTTAACCATAATCTTTGGAAGCTGAATCCAATAACTAATTAATAAACCTTTTATTTTTATTTTTCTTTTTTTTCCGTCTTCGATTTTCTCGGAAGACAAATAGAAAAGGAAGTGAAGCGGAACAGTGGATCACTAATACAATTGTTCACACAGTATCAATCTAATCGAAAAATTAAACTAAATGCTTAACCATAATCATTCGGAAGCTAAATCCAAGCAGAATTGCGGCACTAATTAATAAACCTTTTCTTTTTCTTCTTCTTTTTCTTTTCTTTTTCCTGTCTTAGATTTTCTTGGAAGCCAAACAGAAAAGGAAGTGAGGGGAGCACTACTACAATTGTTCACACAATATCAATCTAATCAGATAATTAAAATAAATGCTTAACTGTAAAGTCTATAATCATTCGGAAGCAAAATCCAAGCAAAATTGCAGAGCTAATCAATTAAACTAAAAACAACGGCAAGATCGGTGTAGAGATCTGTAGAAGAAGATCGATTACCAAAAACTATCTATCTCAGACAGTACGATAGAAGTTAAAAGTCAAGTGGAAGTATACTGAAAGAAGAAATGCAAGGTAGATCTAAACATACCTGTGTGTGTATATATATATATGTATAGCAGTTGTATATGTGTGTGTGAGTGTGTGTAATGGAGAGAGAAGAGAAGAAAGAGGAACAGAGATGGTAGATCGGAAATGGAGAACCTTTCCGCGTACACTCTGCTGATTGTTGCGTTCAGAAGGGAGCTGATTGAAATAGACGATAGTGTGATCTGATTCTCTCTGTTTCGCGAATATGAAATAAATGGAAATTTGGGGGCGACAAAAACGTCGTCGTATAATGATTGCGTGGCAAGTGATTATTACTTTACTCTTTATATTGTGATTTATTTATTTATTTGCACTTTGCAGCGATTGATTAAAATTAAATCCTCACAACATATATATAAATAAAATTTACAACTAGGACATTAGGCGGTATTGGGAAAACCGTCGTTGTGATGATTTCAACGTCATGTTTAATCAATCGCATTTTGCGAATTTGCGATATATCACTCTAAAATGGAACATCATGCTTACACGGCATAAAGAAAAAGACTCGAAATAAACTAAATTTTTAATATTTTTACGAAATAGAGATTTGAGATAAATCTAAAAAGAAGATCGACCCGTTAGTATTTTCATGTAAAAGTGTAAATCTGTATAAAGTGATGAAGAAAATAATAATAGTTCCATTACTATTTTCACGAAAAAGTGTAAATATGTATAAAGTGAACCTCTGAAACAAGTGTATACTGGTAGAGATGGAAAAGTTAACTTGTAGAGTTATTTTTTTTATAAGAATTATTTATTATTTGATAAAGTCAAAGCCTTATAGTTTCAAAAAAAATTGAAATTGATCAAAATATTGACCTAAAATTAGAAAAATACTATTTATTTGTCATAAGATACCACTTTTGGACAATAAATATCATTTTTATGCACGCATGTATCATTTTTTGTTATCATGTATCATTTTTGTTTTTGGTAACACAAAAAAATGTGCCTAAAAGTGGTACCTTTAGGCAAATAAATAATATTTTTCTATATCAACAGTCAGCATTTTGGTCAACTTTATTTTTTAAAAATTATGAGATTTTGACTTCATTTATTAATAATCCCTATTTCATACTTAGAGAAAGAGCGGGAGAACAAAGCATGGGGCCTTATTTTAAGTAATTTTACAAAGTAATAAAATTTTGAGTTAATTTTAGTGACACTCTTCGAATTTAGTCAAATGTTCCATTGAACTAACTTTTGAAAATTACCGTCACTTAGGTTCAATTTTATTTTTTCGTCATTAACACAGTAAAAAATGTGCAAAAAGACATTTTTACCCATAATTTTTTAATCATATTTATTTCAAAATATCAAGGAACTAAAATAACCATTTTACCCTCATTTAATCAAATGAATCAATGCAAAAACAAGTATCAGACAATGAATCAATCCATTTTGCACAAATTCATAAGCTTCCCAACCCAATTTAATCACCTGGGCATGGTACATAAAAACCAAGGCCGTGGTGGTGGTTATGGTGGAAGGGACGCCGATGAAAGAAGAGTTCATGGTTGTGGTTGATAAAAATGGGTTTTCTAAATCTAGGTTCCGTTTCACGGTTACATGTTCAAATCTATCGTTGATACTCACAACTTAGGGTTATATATATATATATATATATTTAGGTCTTATATATATGTTGTATAATATATACGTATATAATCACAATTCTTAGGAGGCGATGTTGTCTTCTTCTCTCTGTCATGGACGCTGCCTCTCACCCTGTTGTAGTCATAGACAACAACACCTGGTTTTTGTAATAATTTGTATTGTTGCGACTGCCTAGCTGGTTAGCCTCATTCATTTTCCTTTGACTTTGGTTGCTGTATTTCTAAGAGCTAATGGAGATGAAAAGCGATCTATAAATACACACACACTTGGTGAGAGAAGAATATATATAATCAGTGATAGGAGGAGAGGAGAGAGGGATTCAATTTTTGGGCATTTTGGTGTTCTACGGGGGTAATTAAGTAATTTTATACGTGAAATAATCTTTTTGCACATACCATAAAGTAAAAGGGTAATAATGTCATTTTACATATAAAGTTTGCTATAACATCACTTAAAAATAACGTTTAGGGTGTGAATAAAAAACGGATCAAACATTTATGATATGAGTGATAATAATTTTTGAAAGTTATTTCAATGTAATATTTAGCCAAACCTGAAGGAGTGTAACTGAAATTAATCTTAAATTTTTAATTCAAACTTGCACCAAATGTTGTAATTTAGTGGTACTTTCTTACCTTTCAAAGTAGAAAACGGGCGGAGTCAGGATTTGAAAATGCCCCGCTAAAGAAAAAGAATTTATTGGAAAAAAAAAAATTTCAAACAGAAAAGATGAAAATACCAAAAATAATACCACATCATGTCAAATAGGCCCTAGATCTTCTTCAATCTTTTAGTTCTAATTTGTTTGTAGGCTTATTTTCTGGACTGAGCCATATATCATTTATGTTTTATTATGGATTAAGCAGTTTGGGCTGGGCTGGGCTGAGCCATAGCTAATAGAAAATAATAATACTAATTTTTATTTTTTGAATCTGGGCTATAGCCCAGGTTAGTCCACATGGAGTTCCGTCCCTTAGCCCTGATAGAAGATCAAGGCTCAAGTCCCCATATGGTCGAAAGATGGGTGTGTGAGTTTCTTGTCAAAAAAAACACCGTGCACCAATAACATTTTTTATTCAAACATTAAGCAGTAGATAATAGAAAAAACCTTATTCATTTAAGCTCAAGTTAACATTTCCCCTCTATTTCCTTGTAATCACTTAGGCCTTGTCTGGCGCTTTATATATCCTTGTAATCACTTAACAAAGATAATTTCAAGATATAAGGCTTTCTTATTAAAGCAGGTAGTTCAAAAGCCCGTTCTTCCACCAAATATTTTGCTTTTTCCTGGATACTCAAGTTCAAATTGATACCCATGGATTCGTTGTTTGCTGACTGGCTTCTTAAAATTCACCTCAGAATTATACATATTGAGAGTATACATTTGAAGATGAAGGACAAAGCCTTGTAGAGTTCGAGCTCTGAAGAACTGAAGAAGAAAGGCTATTTCCGTCTTTTTATTTAGAATATGAGTTATGCAGAGATATGTATATAGATAAAATGGATGTCCAATATTATTACTAAGCAGTAATTATGAAATTCAAAACTTGCACCAATAGCATTGATATTCAAACATTAAACAGCTAATCAGACAACAACCATTAATATAAGGTTGGAGTAGAAAAACTTTTTGCTCAATTCTTTAAATATCAAGTTAACAATTTCATTCTATTTCCTCATAATCACTTAAGCGTCGTTTGGCGTTGTTGTCGGTTTTGAAAAAAACATAAAACTTGCCGTGTTGCTTTGTTGTCAAGAAAAATTGAAGACACATTTGGTGATGTACAAATGACGTAAAGTAAATTTTTAAAAAATAAAGCAAAACACGTTAGTGTTGTAATTAACTATTTTTTACTTAATATGGTGTGCTTACAAATTTTTTTTTGCTCTCTTAATATGTATTTAATATTAATTGTAGAAAAAAAAAAAAAAATTGAACTACAGAGAGAATATGTCTTGGAATCTTGAGAGGAATGCAAGTCCTTGCGTATAGAAAGGAAATAAGTCTATGCATATATAAAATATAAATATATCTTTACATATAGAAAGGAAATAAAGTATTAGAACACAAATTATCAACATATCATAAATCAAACAACTTGTCAAGTTAGAATATTACATAAAAAAGGCCCATTACTTGTCCCAGACATAACAAAAAAATATCACATACATTACTCACTTGCCATTTTTCGAAAGAGATGGAAAAGAAAGCCTGAAAAAACCGATAGAACATAGAAGTTAAAAAAATGTATGAAAAAAATGTACATCTGTATAAAGTAAAAGAAGTGTATATCGAAAGAAAATAAAGCTTAAAAAAACCGAGAGAATTTTCTTATTCATGGAGAGTAAGAGTGTTAATGCAACGAAAGAGATCGAGGTGTGAAAAAGAAAAGCTATGTATAATCAAATATCTGAATCTATTCATCTAATTCGTTAGACCAGATGGATGTCATTTCATAGGGCCATTACATTTAACTCATCATTACACGTTTTAGGTGACCTAGCACGATGCTAGGTGGTGATTCCATTCCTTAGGCCCTTTGTACATTTTGTCACATTAAAGGGTCTTATTTTCTCGATATTACCCTCGTTTATACTACTTACATAAACATTCTCCTTGCGAGCGTGTTGTAGGGGTTCGGGCTCGGCTTGTTTACTAAGCGAGCCTAAAAATTGAGCTCGAGCTCGGCTCGTTTACTTAACGAGCGAGTCCGAACCGAGCCCTTAGCAAGCCGAGCCTGAGCTATTCATGAACAGCTCGGCTCATTTGCAACCCTAGCGACACTAATGAGTTTTGCTGCAAACCGATTTTAATAAATAGCGTCCCAAGAAAGACTTATGGTCAATAATAAATAAGGATTGAGTTTCTTTTATGTATAGTGTTTATCTCAATAATTGTCAAAACTGTGAATAATAAATAAAAAATTCTAATATTATTTTGCTTTATTCTAACCTTTATGAAAGCGAGAATCAAAGCATCTGATTTTAAGGAATTAGAATTGAAAGGAAAGAATCAAGATTTCGATAGCAATCAAGATAAAAAGAAAGGAACAAAAATGAGTGGAATGAATAGAGGAGAGGAAAGAATCAGTGCACAAGATTTAAAAAAAAAACGGAGTACAAGGATCACGATTATAGCAAGCAGCTGAGTAGAGGAAAATCTCTCATAAAACGATGTATATTTCTGTATTGCTTTAGTTTCTTTTCTCTTAATCTATATATATCACCTTAAAGTTTTCAGTATGATCTAAAATTCCGTGCACTTAGTTGAGATTTCAATATCCAATACCTTGAATTTTACACGCTCTCTGAATTTTTAGTTCCTTCCACATTTCTAACACAGTTCGGCTCCGACGCAAAATATTTTTTTTAAAATTTTTATTTTTATTTTAAGTAAAATATTTTCTGTTATTTTTATTTTTCAATGTTTGGCAAATGTCTAAGTGGAAATTGAGGTCAAGTCCATCGGGTAAGACATGTAAAATAGCTTGCTTAATAAGTTATTTTTGTTAAATTTTAATATTTTTTACTTCGTAAATATTTTTCACAATCAAATACCACAAAAACACAAAAAAATATTTTTCGCTCAAACAAATGGGACCTTGACGTAAGCTCACCCTATTAAATTTTAAAAAGTGTTAAAATGTGTCTCCGACAAAAGTCATAAATTCTCTTTGATAGTCTTGAGATTTAGAAATTCATTAAATTATTGTCATAGCTCTTTATATATATATATGTGTATATATATATATATATATATTCACAAATCTCGAAAATGTTTTCGATTCAGTGATTAATAACATGAATTCAGGGACTTTTGTCATGAAAGAGATCTTTTAATAGCCCCATTCACTCGATAAAACATTTGGCCAAATTGCACTAAAGCCATTGTAGTTTTAAAAAGTTGCAACCCAATTGAAAGGGTCTCCTTTACCTTCCTCAATTGCTTGCACCAAGTTGAATTACTTTTTTATAAATATAGCATGTTATTCTATTTCCATGTTTGCCATTTTAGGGTGTTTTCTCTGGGACAATATTGGAATTGAAACATCCAGTTGGGGAAGATAGGGATGACGGGATTATGTTAATTTTACCTTCGGTCACCCTCTGGGCATTGTTTGACAAAAACAAATTGCATATCAAGATAACTCTATTTTACCAGAGAGTAATGATACAGTGTCCGTCAGACAAATCCGACTAATTTTTTGTGAGTAATAAAAAATGTCTGACAAATTTGACTATTTTTTTAATGAGAATATTAATAACATCATGACGTCAGCATCTACTCATATAAATCAGTCTTTATTGTGATTTTAGACTCCAAATTATTATCCTTTATTACTGCCTCCGTCCCAATATAAGTGTCGTCATTGAAATTTGTGCATAACGACACTTATATTGACAAGGAGGGAGTACATCACAGGCTTTCTTTTTCCAACAACCACGTAAGTCGTGTGCAAAGGATAGGCCGGTTCTCTTAAAGAGAAACATGATTAGACTTCACAAGGAAAGGTAAAATAAGGGAAATTTGGATGTGCAAAACAGTCTAGTGGGAAGAGAAACATGATTAGACTTCATCAGTTAAGGTACAATAAGGAAAATAGATCAATATATATATAGAAGAAAATATGAAATATCAAAACCAACATCACTATTCACCAGTGAACCTTTCTTTGTGCAAAAAACTATACAAAACTTTTAGGGAGAAAAAGATTGTATTCATCAACAAAACAGGTTAAAACTGAAACAAAGAAAGCGGCGAGTATATGCAGAACATGTCAGGCCAAAAAGAGAACTCTCATCTGCTTTATTTTCATATTTTTTGATGTTGCAAATACAATTGCTGAAGCATATGCACGTCATATCAAAATAATAATTCTTATATACAAAAATCCATTTTACAAAGAAGAATTGAGTTATCACACAATGAGGGGCGGAGTAGAATCATTTTCGCAACGAATGGTGCAAAAAAAATATATATATTAGGAAAATGGAAAGAAGTGTAAAGACCTCGTTCAATGTGCGTCGCCAATTCTCCCAATCATAAACTATGATTTTTTTGCCTGCAAGAAACGATAAGCGGTAAGGCATCTGCTGTGTTCAGAGAGAGGGAGAGAGATTACAGCAGGTATGAACAGAAGGATGAAACTTGCCTTACTCAGGTACTTCTTATGAATCTTCAATGCCTCATTTAGTGCTTTTCTAGCATCCATATTTCCAGTTATGTCATGCATGATCTGGAAAGATAGTTCCATTCAAAACTATGATAAATGTAAACATGTATATCAAACACTTCCAATATATATATATATATATATATATATAGAGAGAGAGAGAGAGAGAGAGAGAGGACCTTGACAACATCGTCTATACCCTTGGCCTCTTTTAGAAGTTTCTTATTCTTTGTCTCAAGGACACTTGCAGCAAGAAAAATGACGAGAGCGCTGTTTTGGCCTGATCTTCCAGTCTTCACATTTTTTCTCTCAAATTTGCCATACTGCTTGAGCGTCTTGTTATTTATCTTAGGTGCAACATTTTTATCCGTAACCACGCCTGAGTCATGCCCTGACTCTTCGTATGATGCAAACATGTTTGGATTGTATTCCATGGCCCACATAACCTGAAATTCATGTTTGATCAAATACTCTTTATCAATTATACAGTCCAAATTGATCAATTCCAGTGAACATTAATGGAACCTTTCTTCAGGGCTCTCAGGATCATGGCTTTTCAATAAATAAAAGAAAGCTTATTTAGGAACAACTCAAAACAAGGACAGAAGTGAATAAGGGTAGACCAAGGACATGTTTTGCAGCTTGCTTGAATATTTTAGATAAACATCCTTGTCTGTTTAATCTGCAGAAGAGGGGTGTCCAATTGACCTCAGTGTGCTCTTAACGGTTTATCAAATGAGGACTACCGTGATCATTTGTTTCTGTCATGTCCTTTTGCAAAGGAAATTTGGGCATGGTTTGCTGAGATTTTGAACTGGCCTTTTCCGGTGGTGGGGAGTTTTGATCAGCTGATTAACTGGTTTGTACTTTGTTCAGTACACCGGGATCTTCTTCTATCAAATCTAAGCTCAGTAGGATGGTTTTGTCAGCTGCTGTGTGGGCTATTTGGGGTGAGAGGAATTCAAGGTTCCATCAGATTATTGATGCTGGCACTATCCCCTTGTACTGATTGCCATATCCTTTGGTTATTAATACAATGCCTGCTTATGAAAAAAAGAAAGAAAAAAAATGACAGAAGTTCTCCCTTACCTCCCAAAGGTACAGTGCATCAACAAATGAAAACTCTCTCCGAAAAATTACCATCAACATACGGAAGGCAAATAAATATTCCCCACCATCTAGTTCCTCTGCCAAAGAAGAAATGAGATATTAGCTAACAATTAAGGGTCGGTCTTAGAGAGAGAGAGAGAGAGAGAGAGAGAGAGAGAAAGTATCAACTATCTATCATTCACAAAGTGACTTGTTCTCTTAACAATTTAAAACAGGCACATAATGTGCCTTTCTTGTATTCTTTTCCCCACCTCAAATTAAGGTGTAAACTTGAGCGGTCAGATTACCAACTTGTTTGAGCTTATGCTCTTGCTCTTTTTTTTCACTAGAAAAAGCACCAAGCATCATAAATAACTATAATGTCAAATGTTAAGTTCATATATCATCTATGCTACATGGATTAATGGCGGAGGTCTTCATTTCCAAAATCACTTACGAATATAAACAAAAATGAGATGAATCATGGAAATATTGCCAAAAAGTACCAAGTTTTGTCATGTTTTATATGAATTGAACTGATTGCAGAAAACACAATGGAATAAGGAAACTGAAAACATGTAAAAATGCATAAAATGTTCTTCATTCACCCACATTGTAAGACAGCTTACAGCTAAAGGAAACCCTGTCATGATAGCAGGTCCAGATAGTGGTCAATACATTATTATAACTAAGAAACATTTATAAATATATTGTTAGTTTTTATATAAAAGCTGATTCATTCACGTGATACAGTGAAAATTAGTTGAGTGTAATCATCGCATATATATATATATATATATATATATATAACTGTCAAAATTAAATCGAAGTCCATGTCCACAGCTTTCCAGAGCACAATACAAGCAGCCCAGAGTAAGGCACACTAGGAACTAGGCATCACATTCAAGTTTTTGAATTATGAACTTTCCAGAGCACAATACAAGCTGCCCTGATAGGAACTAGGCATCAGATTCAAGTTTTTGAATTATGTCAATGTAAAATTCGGCGTGGCCCATTTTAGCTAGAAGATTCAGTTTTGATAGCAAACTAAATCAGAAAGGCTCCATTTCTTCTTAATGACTTCAAATTGGCAGAACTCAATTTGATCGCTTTATTTCATTTCAAAGTGTATTAGAACTTTCAATTATCAATTTTTATAATTTTATTCGAAGATCATTACAACTTTCATGTAGCTGTCCCAGTTATTTTGAACTTAAGGCTTTGTTTAGTTGAATTAAATGTTTAATATTAGATCTCCTTGTTTGCATGATGTATTTTATAGGTGGCTAGTTCAAAATGGAGAGGATTGCTGCATTGAAACAAATTTGAAAACCATCACGATGCCCGAAATTGGAAGAAAAATATGCTAATAAAATTTGAAGAATGAACACCTCTTTGAATGGATCATCATGCATTTCCATAAAGTAAATTTAAATGTTAAGAACTTTTAAACTTAAAATTATTACAATTTAGTGATTATACGTACATTTGGTTAAACTAATTTATTTCTAATGAAAGTGTTATGTTGGTAACTTCCTTGTATGAATAAGATTATAAACCACAATGATGTCCACGATCAAACAGTAAATGCTATGGTCAACCCAACAAAATATAGGAAAAACTTCTGACAAGTTCAGTCCATACCAAGGTGTTGATGAAGCTTCGGATCAACCGCTTTAATTATTTCCGAGAGGGTACTCAACTGAGACTGCACACCTATTGAAGTTGTACTGCACCTGAAATTTTCTCTCTTTTCAAACAAAAGAAAGGTTAAAAGTTGTAAATGCAAAAGGAGGCAGGAAGAATTGAAAGCATTAATGATTTTAAAGACATACTAGGCTTAGAAAAATGATATATATCTGAGAACAAAAACAACAAACTCAAATATTAAGTCTTCTGAATATGAAGGTAGGCGAATTAAATCTTAATCATGTAAAATCAAAATTTGTAGTAACAAACTGAGAACTTCTGCGAAAAGTGTTAATCAATCCATGCATATATGCCGTCCAGAACCTACAAATTGTAACACATTCACCCTGGATATGTGAAAGCATAAATTGCAAAGGACCTGACTTAGAATAAAACAAAATAAACTGTCTACAACATGATAATAACAAAAAATGTATATATTAAAGATTTTCTACAAAGCTCCATCGAACAAAACCTCATTTCTACTACTTGCAGAACATGAAACAATTTGATTCACCCAACATGGGGCCATTAGCTACAGTTAGATCCTACTTCCTAACATGTTTAAGTTAAATAGAAAACTTAAAAAAATAAATAAAAAATAAAAAAAATAAAAAAAACAGAGAAAAAGAGTGAAAATAGTCAAACTGACATTTACTTGAACATATGAAACTTCTAGCATTTTAAGAGTGACAGATGTGTAAAAAATGAATCATCTGGTGTTACAATAATCAACCAATTAGATTCTTTAACTGCAAATAATCATTTATTCATTTGCTATAACATTATTAATCAAAGACACGTCATCATCTATATCCTCACTAGTGAAGCCATCAGATCTTATGCCCCTTCCAGTTTTCATCTTCTTTCTATTCATTTCGCAAAACTTGATCTTATAAAAAATATCATACCAATATTGTTTGCTCTAATTTTACCATGGTTACCATAATCTTCGGAACCTAATCTTCCGGTACAATTTTCATCCAACAAAGTTTAAAATATAAAAAATAACTATCCAACCTTTCTTTAATTTCATCATCTTTTACCAAAACCTTTAGATTCTCACTCTTGATGTAAGTAATGTTATTAAAATCTCTAATTTTCCCCTCCCTTAAATGAAAAAGTCTGTATATATATTTCTCCCAATCTTTTGTACCTAATGTCTAATAAAGATTGTCATATACTTTGTACATCAGATCTCTTACGACTTTTTTAACTTCTTTTTTCAAAACTTTCTTCATTACTAGTGTGTGCGTCCAAAATTTTTCTAGTTTTTGAAACTTTCTTCATGTATCATCATAAGAGTTAACAATTTCAAGTTCTATTCAAATATTTACCGAGTTTATAATTCAAGTCTCAGATTTTAACGGTGATCTGTCACAAAAGGAAATGTTATAAAACCAAGGGCAACGAATTATATAATATAAGAAAGGTGACAAGATGGAAAAACTAAGGGCGGCAAATGCCCCCCTCCCCACCCCCACCCCAAAAGTTAAATAATAGATATGTAAAAAAAAGTTTAATAATAGATATATAAAATATATATATATATATATATTAAAAAAGCTAAAAGTACCAGCAGGATCAAGAAGAGACATGCTTAACTTTTTCTTTTTCTTACACCAGTAGACGAGGTCAAATAGATCAAGTTCAGCCTGAATGTGAGTATAGCCTGATCTAATTTATTAACACAAAAGCCACTATGATCAAATGCCTGCTTATAATAATAGGACTGTATCTGCATCATAAATTGTCAAGTAACAGGTATCCTATCTGTTGGCAGTCAATCTGAAAATAACTATTATTTGGCAAAAAGAAAGGGGAAAAAAAAGAGAGAGAGAGAGAGAAGAAGAAATAATATAGTTAACCCAACACCATGTTTCAATAGCCCCTAAGGGAGAACAGAGAGAAGAAGAAAAATCACATAAAAACTAAACCCAAGAACAAAGAAATAAAACAATATTACTCCTTTGCTTTGTCAAACAAAGATATCAAGAATAAAAGAAGAAGAATTAAACAAAAGAACACTAATGAACAAATAAATAAATATAAAAGAGATCCTCATATTAAACTTTTGCTTGGTCAATATAGGAGGGTACTTGTTTAAAACTATGTAAGAACAAGAAAAGGATGATGAAAAAGAAAGATAATAATTTAAAAGCCCCAGATGAAGACTTATCAAAAAAAAAAAAAAGCCCCAGATGAAAAGCTGAATACAGAGAATCGACTATAGGAGTAAAGAGTGAAGACAAACAATTTGCCATTCAATTATGTTTGAAAAGATACCTGATATTTACCACGTATGTTTCTTTTATTAACTGTTATATCTTTTGTCATCTAGCTGCAAAAACTCAATAGTGTTTGTTTCTGGGTTGACCATCATCATACAATCCATCATTATAGTTTCAGATTTGGGTTGTTACCAAGCAGAATGACCAGTACCCCTGTCTGGCATCTTAGAGTATTAGATTAATGGATTGAAATTGTTATCAGGTGAACAGATTGGATGTCCTTCACCAAATCACAAATATTTTGGGAAAATATAGTAAGTGGTAGTTTGAATCATTCATTCAACAAACATGAATGGTAGTTGATCTCTTTTGTTACCAATTCTAGACTCAGATACTGGCCAGACAATAATGCTGGTAACCAAAGTGAAACCAAAAAGTATATTCTCATGTCATTCACTCTGTAATGGAAGCCAACCAACTGAAATCACTGTCTATCGTTCAAACAGAATAATTCCACGAACAAGGAACACTAAAATAAAACCGTTCTGTTATTTAATAGCAGTGCCTCTTTTGATAAGGAAAATGGATAGCATACCAATCTACGCATCGCATGCTCAAAGCACCAGAAGGCATCTGCTTCATCTTCTAGAAGAATCACCATTGGAGAGCAAATATCATTCATTCCTGCTCAAGAAAAAAAGATGATGAAAACCATGACAATTGTAAAAACTAGGAATTGATTCAATTTAACGGTATTGTAGTAGAGTAATTCACCTTGGACATAGCTAATGTCATTGTCAACCCAAGCATAAACAGCAAGCAAATCCCAAAGTTTTGCCTGATTAATTTCACTCTCATAAAAGACAAGAGCACGATCAGTGCGCACAACATCCAGACCTACAGCCCAAATTGCACCATAAGTCAATAGAAAGGACATATTAACAATAATTTATCTTTTCCCATGCAAACAAGTCTTCTCCAAGTTAAGTATTTTTTCCTTGACAGAAACTGTATCAGCACCAATGAACAAGGCAAAATTTTAATTTGAGGTCCGCAACAAACAAAAACGGAGCATAAGGAGAAATAAGCAAAATGTGGATAATAGATCGAAGTGCCACATAAAAAAAGGTGTAAGAGCTACAAGAAATTGAAGTTTGAACCAAGAACAAACCAATTTGAGGCAAGCCAAGCTTCCAATGAATCACTTTCTTGTCTGAAACAGCGTCATTACTTGACATGGTTCCACTGTTATCTATTGAATCATTGTCGGTTGAAGGATCTCGTATTGGTTGGCCATCATCACTGATTATAGGTGTCGTAACAAACTTTCCACTACCAACAATAGGCACCATCTTCTGGCATTCGGCTTTCCATGCACCATATTGCTCCCTAATAATATCATGTAATGTTTTAATTAATACGCTCGCCTTGAAGAAAAACATAAATATAATATATATAAGTATGTTTACACATATACATAAAAATATGCACACACATATAGACAACTATATGCATGCTTACAACCTCCATTTCTCATTTTAATTGAGGGCATTTATGTAATTTTGATCATTATTTCTGGAATTGGAACATGAGGACCCCTTACTAAAACACTCCTTGAAACTGCCTACTGCTTCCCTCCCTTTAAGATTAAATATTCCAGAGTTGTTGACCAGACAAACATAATCAAGAGATACCTAATTTGGATTCAGAGGTTTTATGGATGTGTTTAAAACCCCATGATTTTCAAGATTACCTGAATTCTGCCCACTTCCTGTATTTCTGGAATGTTTATTACTTTGTTATTTATCTCTGTTTTCTTTCTTTCTTTCTTCTTCTTCATTTTTCTTTCAAGTCCATAGCCTGTAAAGATACTAGAAGGGACACCATTGAATGGCTCCAACATTGTGTAAAGGTTTTTAATGTCATACATGCATCTAGAGCACTCTTTAAAGATTGTATAGAAAAGAAATTTATTACAAGCATTTCATTGTTGAGCTCACTTCAAGGAAATGAAAAGCAGAGTAGTCAACAAAAAAAGTTCTCATTCCATATAGATCCAGGATTTTTCTTTTTTCTTTTTTTGATAAGTAACGTATCAATAGAGATCCTGGATTTTTCTTTTAAATTACTTAATGCAGTAATGCCTTTACTGAAGATAGCATTCCCAAGAAAATGATTTCGCTTTCATAATGGCTTATGAAGGTGATTAGTATTCCTAAACCTTCCCTACAGAAGTATGTAAGAGATTAGCACTACTACGATGATTAGTTAAGATGGTTTGATGACGTGCCATGTATATAAGGTGCAAAGCCCTCTCGATACCTTATTCGAGCTTTGTAACTAATGGACGTTTCCCCATCACTAGAGAGTTTTCCCAGTGCACAGAGCTCCAACAAGGAAGGTGTTACTTGTTTATCATTGGGTCAATAATGTTAATCCCTCTTTTTGTCCTGCTCCTTCTCCTAGGACGAAAAAAAAAAACTGAAAATAAATTATATCACATTGCACTTAGATTGTCAACTGCATGTAAAGCCACCTCCATGCCACCCAAGATACAATGCTCCAAGTCAGAGATGGAATGCTACAGTTAGGGAAACCAACTCGAGTTTAAAAGTTTAGCCCATTCAGATAAGTGGTTGACCAATGGTTGTAGCCCAGTAGTATCTCCTTTACCTCCAAAGTGAAAGGTAGAGGGTTCAAGTCCCCATAGGGGAAAAATGGGAGGGTGTTTTATTTGCCAGACGACATCAGCATCATCACCCTCATCATCCTTTCTTTAATCCCATATGAAATGGGTCGCCACATGAATTCTCTTTTTCCAAACAATAAAAAGTAAAATAGTGGCTGCCCTTCAGCTTCATTTGCTAAGAAAGGAAATAATATTAGAAGAAAGAGTAAAAGAAAGTGAAATGAATGACAGGAAAAAATATTTTCTTAAATGTATTTGGTTAGGATGAAAATTTTATAAGAAAGTTGTCATTAAAATTTACAAGATACACTTATAGCATTTTCTGTAGAAAAGTTTTGGAAGAAAATTAAGCAAAGCCAAAAGTTTTCTGTAGAAAAGTTTCTTGCCCAAAAGTTTTTATTTCCTGATTTTCACTCTTAAAATGTTAAAAATATTCCTATTTATACTTTCCATCTAATTAAACAAAGCCATGGTGAACTTGAAAGCAGAAAATAGTATGATGTCATGGTTAAAAATGTGAAGAATAACCTAGTGCAACTCAATAGCATAAAACTTGTGTCTAGAGTCTAGACATCACCAAGTAAACTATGTTAAAAGCTCCAAGAAATTTTTCCCCAAAATCTTATACACTATTAGTATTAGGTTGTTCCAATAACTATAATTTAGGAATGGTTCCTCATGGCTTTAATTCCCAGCTCAATTTATGTTCGAAAAAATATTTAAAATGCAAAACTTATAAGGAGATAAAGAGGATCCCTGCAGAATGCATGCATTGCAATAAGGCTGAAATTTTGTGTACGTTCCTATTACTGAATCCTGATTGGATTAACAAAAGAAAAAACACCTAATATTCCTAATATTGTACTACCTCCGGTGTTGCCTCAGCTCATTTCGTTCATCGAAGGTGCTGTTGGGATCATAACAACCCAACAAAAACTCCCAGACTACCCCTTTGATAGAAGGATGAACGCCCTTGCATGAGTAACCGAAAAAAACAAAACAAAAATTAATACTCGTCTTATTCTAATTCAGTGTTCCAGTTAAATAAAAAAAATAAAATGCATATGCTACAATACATCAACAAAAAATTCAGTGCTAACAAGTAGAGCACAAATCAGAATTCTAATTCAGTGTTCCAGCTGAACAAAAAATAATAAAATGCATATGCTACAATACATCAACAAAAAATTCAGTGCTAACAAGCAGAGCACAAATCAGATTATCTACAAATTAAAAGACAAGTATGTATAGTATTTGATGAAGCTAGTAACATTAGTAGAGTTGACAAAATAAATTAGAACACTACATATAGAGGTGAAAGAGAGTAAATTAAAAAGTCATAGTATCCTTATTATAATAGAATATTTTCCCAGGAACAGGCCATGAAACTCCATTTCCTACTAAGATTATACTAAGTTCATCAACCTTAGCAATATAAGAACAAGAGCTCAAAGTTAATGTCAGATGACAGGAATCTTGAATGTTTATGAACTGAAGACTCAACGGGCCCCTAGATTCTTCAAAGTAAGGACAAAGCCTCAGCTATTTTAGAATAATCCACCCCAGTGGCACAGGAACAGACATGAATGATATGACTTGATTAGCCAATGGAGATGCAACGTATTCCTGAAGCCACAGCCCACAGATTTCCCAAAGAGCATAAGATGAAGGTGACCTTAACTTCACCTCAAGAGAGAACATATTTTTTCTTGCTCTGTCTAAAATGAAAAAGAAAGAAAATATCCGCCATGAAAACAATGATGAAACATATGAGAAAAGGGGGTTGTGAAATTACCTAGAGCTTGGCATGTCCTTGGATAATACACCCAAAAAAAAAACAGCTAACATAAAATCTCCATTTCCTTTTACATACAAGTTATACAAGCTCAACAATTCTGACAAATTTCGGTAAAGCTTTAAAACAAAATCCAAACCAAGCAAAACCACGAGAGGTAGAAAAATATTTATATAAGCTTGTGAATGTATAGATTTTGCACTGATCTGAATCAGAATGTGTTGCGACTCACGTAAAAATTGAACGAAAGAATCTAAGATTACGTAAATTTGAAAGCACCACCATTTTCAATAGGACAGATTAGCAACCCCAAAAAAGCATTTCACATGAAAATGGGGATGGATAATACACGCATAAACAAGAGTGCAGTCATTGACTTTGCTTTTACAGGGTCTTGATGACCAACCTGAAAGGCATACTATAGCCAGGGACGGACCTAGTAAGGGACCAACGGGGACAGCTGCCCCAACTGATTTTTTTTTTTTTTTACAAAATTACCTATATTTTTTGTTAAAATCTTAAAAATTTTAAGATTTTGATAAAACCCCACTATATATTCTTGTTATTCAAGTCCACCCCCTCTCATACAATTTTCTCGGTCCGTCACTGACTATAACCATCCAGAGGGTTTTACGAAAACACTATGTACTATTGTAAGTTCGCTATATATGTTTAAAAGATTCACTACAATCAACTTTCATATCATCTTGATAGCCTCAAATCAGAATTTGTCCAGTCACAGAATAAGGTGACAGCACCACCGGATTTTCAATCCATGGAGGCATGACAGACATAAAACTTCTTTTCTGTTCACCAAAGAGACATAAAAGATTCCATAATACCAAACTTTAATCCTATTAGTAAATGGATTAAGATTGATGCATTTGTCTCCCATTAACCCACTAGTATATTTCATCTCTTTCAGTACTTGTCAAACCAATCTCCTCTCTTGGTACTCTAAATATTTCATCTCTTTCAAAACTTGTCAAAATAGTCTCACTCCTCATTTAGTAACTAAGTGACAAAGATTACTTCTTCAATAAAATACTTTCTGCATCCCAACAGAAAGCATCAAAGACACAATACTAGCTGTAAAACCTGTAACAATACTTATCTATATAAAAGATAACCAAGTCATGATGCATGCCATGGTGGTTACTATAAAATAATCGCTTATGGATCTAGTCAGTAAGCAATCAATTCTGTGATTGGAAAATCAAAATAGCTAACATCCCTAACATACGGGGCACCATATTTCACCAAATCCAGATTATAAAAGAAATCATTATAGGAAATGTCAAAATAAAATATAATACCCAAATAGAAAGGATCAAATTCATTAATAATCTTTATGGCCCCCATTTCTTTGTTAGTATTTTCCAATATTATACAATATGTAGGTTTTAGCCGCATTTAATCAACTTCATGATCCTATTTTTTCATTCATTTATTTCCTGTTCCACTACAAAAAGCTCAAAAAGGAACTTCATATATGATAGTAGCAGTGATATTTTAACACACTTAACTTCAAATTACACACTTGAAAACGGTCATTATTCCTTTCCATTACTAAAAAAATTCACTATAGTTTGGATCATGAATGATACAACTGAAACATATAACCAATCAAGGAATAACAAAAGTCAAAAACCAGAAAGAGCATGTAACTGAACTTTGTCTGCCTACAAATAAAATAGTGCGTGTATTGACAATTCATGCAATAAGCTATATTTATGATATCAGTATATCATAAAAATGCAAGGATTGACATCCCAAGATCTTGTCTTTAAGAGTGAGGATGGTGATTCTTAAGGGAAAGGTATTCATTTGTTTCATATAAACTTAGAATGTAAATAAATTGGATATTTGAAATAAAATCTTACCAAGTAGCTCAATAGATCATAGCATTCTTGTAGGAAACATTTTGAAAGAAAAAATATTAAAAAGTTTCATTGTACCTATCTTGCTATTTCAATATGTGCTTACCATTTATTTATGACTTTCTTAATACTTCAGATTCTTTGTTCTCTTTAAATACACCATTTTATCAAGCAAAAGTTTTATTGGTCCCATCAATACAATACCCTAGGCCAGTTCTGAGCAAAGTAGCCAGCGATAAACATTGTGCTTAAAAAGCTTTATGACAGCTTATCAATCTGACTCAACTATAGCTAATTATGTTTAAATTTTATTAGCTTAAAAATAAAACATACATATATAAATATTCGCATGCATTTAAAGATGGAGTCAAACAATAATAGAAAGGCTTTACCCCTTTTTGAATCCTCCTAAGAACTCCAGCAATATCCAGATGACCATCTTTAGAGAATGCAGCATTCCATCTTCTTTCGCTTAGAGTCTTTCCCGGCTGTGAAATGGATGGAAAGATATCGTTACAAGTTTAAAAAGAATCCCGTATAAGCATGTCACAACAATCCAGTAAGCGAATTGTAAATGCACAATAAAACAAACCCATCTTTTAGCTGGAGCAAGCACCTAAGACATCACCATTTGAGCTTTTAACATGCATTGTTCTACTTCAAAAGTAACTGTACCAAATTCTGATGCATCAAGATCCTAAGTCCACCCCCCCAAAAAAAAAACTAATAATTACTTACAAAAATAAGAGTCTGCTGGCCCTTACACTTATAAATATATTTTCCCAGATTGTGTAATTGATGACGGTGTTTTAAAATAAAATAAAATAAATTCTTAGTAAATGAATTATGGGTGTCCATTATATCACAACTGAAACAAATAACTGGCCGCGAAAAATAACATGTGCACACCCTCAGCTTAAAATGTGTCTTTGGGACGTCGCCTTGGCATTCTGGTCTAATTGCAAAGAATGACTCCAGCTCCTTAGATGCGTAATTCATCATAAAATTTGCTGCTACAATCACAACAAGCACCCAATTAGTCTCAAACAGTCTTTCTCCAACAAGACCAAACCCCGTATGAAGTCCTACAAATTTTGTGAACATCAAATCAAACCCATTACCAATACCAATTTTTTTCACTAATCCAAGACTGCATACCCCCACAAAAATGTCAACTCGTTTGGAATTTACAATATTATTAACGCCTCAAATGACCCTAAAAAACTTACTGATTTCAAAAAATTTCCAATCAGGTTAACAAATTCTCATTGAGATCGAAATCAAAAGCCAACCAGATCAGATAAACTTTCCGAATCAAAATGTTCCACATTCAAAACCATCAACGACAAGTATAAAATAGCAACAAAACGTATATACACGCACAATTAGGATTATATATATATATATATATATATATGCACACACAATAGAGGAATCTATATACCTTTGTTCGAGGCACTAGACGATGAATGGATCAAAACTTGATTTCTTCTTTTTTTTCTTTTTTCTTTTTTTGGTGGGGGTTAAATACTACAACATTGTTCGGTGCTTATTTTTTAATATTCGAGAAGAAACAGAGGTTTGCGACTGAAATGAATGCATGTGGGCATAGATATGAAGAGAGATTGTGTGAATCGGAAAGAGATTAGGGTTTTATAGAGAAGGAGGAGGAGAAGATGCTTGAAAATGAGAAATTATTAGAAAGGAAATGAAAGAGTGACAGACAGCCTAAATTATTAACGGTTGGCGATCCCAGCAGTTGATCTGTCTTCTTCCTTCCATTTTCTTCGGTTTTGCCGCATATTTGAATTTTCACGACGAACTCAGTCATTAAATATGAGTACTTTTATTGGATGTACGGAAAATAGAAAATAAAATCATTTGAGATTTTAAAAAAGGGTAAATTAGACTCAGGTTTGGGTTAAACCGTTTAATTATGTATCATGCACACTCTTACAAAGGGGCACTACTCCTATTGTCCTCAAATACTCGTTTGACAATTTATATATACGTGTTTTAAATAAAAATAAATTTTTATTATTTTGAATATTTTTAGAAAACTTCACCAATATTTCTTGAATACTTAGGCTGAAATTTTAAAACAAATTATAACACAAGTCTATCTAATAATCTTGAAAATAATATCAACACTTT